GTAGGGCGAGGACCCGTCCATCGCCGCTTGCGGCTTTAATTTTTTTTATTTCTTTAAATAAAACCACTGAAGTGTTGCTGCCTGCCAGGCCGTCTGCATCTGGGTCCTTGTTCTTGTTGTGAACCAAAGCAATGATGCCAAACTATAACTATCGAAGAAGTTTATCTATTATTAATTAGTCAAACCTCAAGCGTGTTTAAAGACATAAAGATGAGCTGTGATGTTCCTCATCTAAATTCAGACGCTCTTCACCGGCTTCCTGTAAAATTCAGAACAGACTAAACTTCTTCTCCTCATTTAAAAAAAAAAGAAGTGTGAGTACCGTATGATCCCAGTAGATCATAAGAACACAGGACACAGCACCACCTACCTGCTGTAATGTGCACAGTGATGAGAAATACAGTTTCTTTAGGAACACATCATGCTTTATAGATATTATTTAGTCACTGTGATGACACCAGGATAGAGAAACCCACGAGTTTGTGAATCTGTTGAACCTGCTCCTAAACTATAAGATGCTCCTAAGACTTCTTTTTTTTCATCTGCATGCATTTCAAACCAGACATAATACTTTCTGACGCTGTGGCATGTCCTCCCAAACAAAGGATGGGGCTCTGATGTGTATAATTAATGGTTATTCATCCTGGTTAACAGGCTAACTTTGGTTTTGTTGTCAAAATCATACCATCCCATATAAAATAAACTAAATCTAATTTTAAAAGTTCCATCTGACTCCCTCAGAATCAGCCGAGGTTAGTACATTTAATGGAGTCATTAAAAACTTCTTACTATGAATATTTTACAGTTACTGGCTTTTGAAGTACACAGTGGAGGGTTCAACATGATTGTAATTTGTCTAATTTATTTTCATCGTTTGTAAACCCCCATAACTTTACACAGACATTTGAGGGACATTTTCAGGGCTGTTAAAAACTGACCAAATCCATTTTACATCTACTTCTGGTGCCAAAATCTTTTACCAACATTTTGAGCATCAGTATTATGGGATGTTTCATGGTTTCAATAGCAACTTAATTTATCGGGAAATCTTTAAAAAAGTGCATTTTGGGAAGACTTTTATCATGTGGGATAGGTGGTTGGTCAGAACAAGCAAATGAAAGGTCTCATTTTCACCAGAAATGTTGATACCAGGCTCATCTTTGAGCCACAATTTAGTCTGTGTCAGAACAATTTTCTAATACATGCACACACAGAATGTAAAGTTTCTGATTGTATTTACTCGAGGTATCAAAAACACACAACCAGTATCCCAGCCCTGTAGAAAGGACTGGTTTTAGATACCAGGGTTACAACGGCATAAACTCTCAAACAGTGAAAGCTCTAAAAACAAATCAGGGCATTTCAAAAACCTCTCCCTCTCTCTCATGACCGGTCGGCCGTCTCAGCCGTCTTCCTCTTCCTCCTTCAGTGAAACTCTCACTTCTACATTCGAGTAAACAAACACGCCACGCTTGTGACTCATAAAATGCTTTAATGTTGTTTCAAGGCTCAGTAGAAGTGATCACGGGGATGGCCACCGCAGCGGCTCACCCGCAGAGAGTCAACCAAAAGTGACCTCTGATGGAGCACAAAGAAAATAATAATAAAAAATTTAATGTTAAACAGTTACAGGCAGTGACACCAACAGATAGACGGGATGCACAGAGACGCTATGGGACACATGATAGAAAAAATACAGCGTTTAACCTGAATAACGACAGACGACGATGTGAGGACGAGCTCTATTGGTACCAACTACGTAGTCGTGTAGTTCACCATCACAATGACCACACCTGATATGTCAATACACAGAAACATGTTTCAGAACAATAGAAAAACAGATCCAGAAACTGGTTTCGAAGCAGTCCGTGGCTCCAGACCTTTTAAAACAGAAGTTTGAGTAAATCCTGGCAGTTTTCATCGTGGCTGAAGTTCAGCTTTCTCAAGTGCAAGTTTTAACTTTGATATCCAAAATATGGTCTGTAATCTGAGGGCAAACACACACACTCTCCCTCACACACACGAACGAATCAACAAATAAATAACTGAAATAAATAACCACAAACAAGACGGCACGACAGAAACTTTGCATCTTGAAGGAAAAGACTTTCTACTCAAACTAAAGCGGGTTCATGTTTTTAATGTTTTATGCTCGGTTTGCTTCGCGTTTCCGTCTCACTTATTATCTGTCAGGTCATTTCTCTAAGACGATCTGAAACCAAACCGCCCCATCGAGGATGCAAATTGAGCTATTCGTGGTATATTCTGGGGTTCTGGTTCATTGGTTTCTAATGCAAAGCTCTCTTAATTCTGCCAACTTGTCATTTCATCTTTCTTCAACCTCGACTCCCTCATCTACCTTCTTTTACATCCGATATCTGTGGAATTGTATTCGTCGATCCAGCGTCTGCACTAAGAACCCTGCAGGGTGTGATAAGTCATCTGACCCACATCTGCACCCAACATGTGATCCTGGAAACTTTCTGCTGTAAACAAGCTGCTCAGACGGGAAGTGAGACTGAATCCGGCTCTTTGTCGCCGTCTGTCCTCGCACATACCTTCAAATGTCACGTCACAGTTTGCAGATTTGCACAAATCACGTTTTCACTACATTTCATCCCTTAGTAACCTCCTTTCAAGAAACAGGCCCAACGACCGCCTTGAGAGTCTTAAATCCCTCGTTCATCGCTATTAGAATCACGTCTCAGATTTGACTTTGAACAAAAAATAGATAAAATAAATGCGACTTTCTCTTAACAGTGAATAAAAGGTTGGTTTCACGTGCACAGCAAACTCACCGGTGAGTAAATCAGCCCTGTTAGCGGCTCTTAACACCAACCATAACTCATTTAACACCGGCCGCTTTGCTGTGTAAGTAAAACATGTTTTTAAATAAAAAGTTCGAGCACAGTTAAGTGAGTTTCGAGTCCCACCACCCGATCCGACCCCGGCCGCTGCGTCCCAGCAGGCCCGGAGGCCCTACGAGCTGATGATCTGCCCGGACCAGGTCTCGTGTTTCGTGCCCGGGTTGAGATGTGTGATCTTCACCTCCACCGCCTGCACCTTCAGGTTCTTGGGTGGGACCCGGCACACTTTGTACGTGACCTCATCGCCCTCGACCGGGACGTACTCGCCCTCGATGCTGGAACAAGAACAAGGAGGACGACGGAGTGAGAACAGTGAGTTTTACTTGATGTAAACGTACAAGCAGATTTGGAGCATTTTGAAGCTCATGAGATTTGACTGAAAGCAGCAGTTTTTTTTTAAACTTCCCACAAACTGAACGATGGTTAATAGTAAAAGCAGCTTGTTCCCTTCCATGTTGTTTAATTAAATCACGTAAAGAAAAAAAAACAACAAAAAAAACACTGGAGCTCAATGTGGTCTCACACAAATACCACAGAAACAAACACAGACAGCTGCCAGAGCTCAGAATGTAAAGACATTTGAGATGAGAGAAATGTTTGAGCCACGATGCAGATATCTGGATAACGGGATCATCCTGCATAATCTCCCTGCAGACATTTCACAAATCTGCTTTTTGCAGTAATAACATTTGATGTATTGCTTTTTGCTAAATAAAAAGGTGGAAAAAATCCCGTCCAGAGAAGCTGTAGTGCATGTTCACTTACTGCAGGAGGCACAGGAAGCTATTGTGTATGAAAAAGTAAAGTTCAAGTACAGTCTTGTTTGCTGTGTTGTCATATCATCACTGTGGCAGAATAAAAAACTACCAGGCTGAGTTTCATGAAACTTGGTGAAGCAGGAGCACATTAAACTGCTGTGTGTTTCTGACACTCACTCTGAGATGTGAACGAAGATGTCGTCACCGCCGTGGGAAGGTCGGAGGAAGCCGTGACCTTGTGACCTGGAGAAGTTCTTACACGTGCCCTTGAAAACTGGACCTGAGTGAGCGCGGACCGTCCTGCAGGCAGAGAGAGGACGACACGTGAAATAAAACCCTCTCATCACCTACTGCTGCAGCTGCTGCACACAGAAACAAGCAGAAACAGCAGTTTTTTTCTTTTATGTGATGCAATTAATGGTCCAGACTTTCTTCACTTGAAAAATGGGGAAGTGAGACGACAGAGTGAAGCATTCATAACTCATGTGACAAAGCGAGACTCAGGGCTGATCAGATCAACTCCTACATTCTGCCTCACAGTGTTACAGGAGAGAGGAGAACGCTGATCTGCTGCCTCGGCGTATAAACCGGACAGCTCTCAGTGATCCGTCTGCAGTTTAGTAAAGCATTAAAAACCTTTATCAAGCAAAGGAAACAACACAACAACTGACAATTTGCTCTGTTGCATGTAAAAGTTGAATCATTATATATTAAACCACTGAATTACCATTACACATGCAGGAAGTCAAAGTGGAACTAATTTGAACTGTACATCCATCCATCATCTCTACACCTTAATCCTCACCAGGGTCATGGGGGGCGGAGCCTATCCCAGCTGACTCAGGGTGAAGGCAGGTTCACCTGGACAGGTAACCAGTCTATCACAGGGCTACACTTAGAGACAGACAACCAAGCACACTCACATTCACACCTACGGACAATTTACAATCACCAATTAACCTCAGCATGTTTCTGGACTGTGGGAGGAAGCCGGAGAACCCGGAGAGAACCCACGCTGCACGGGGAGAACATGGAGACTCCACGCAGAAAGATCCCGGGTGTCCTCACCGGGACACCAACCGGCGACCCGATGAGGACACCTGAGCCCTGATTTCTAATCCTCTAAATGTAATTTCACCGTGTATGATGTCTGTGTGGATGCTGCTGTGACCTCATGCTGCTGCCTGTCTTGGCCAGGACAGTCTTAATCTCAATGAGCCTTTTCCTTAGCTCAAACTAAACTTAGTCAGGAATTAATCAACCACTAACGAAGCCATCAGCTGCAGCTTCTAAGCCCTTCCACATGGTCCTGACAGCAAAAAGTGAACAACTGAAAATGTGATGGAAACACTGTACCATAGGAAGCAAATATCTGCCTCCACCTGTAAACTTGGGGTAAATAAAGCGGCTGTGCTTACGCAGAGTAGGTGCGGGTGCGTTTGGTGGGCAGAGGGCTGGGCAGGTCCCGAGGCAGCGGCTTCTCCTTCCCTTCCTCCCACACCCGGCTGCCCTCTCTCAGGAAGGGGAAGGAGAGGGTGAGGGAGGCGTTGGGGGAGCGCAGCGGGGTGCCGGAGGGCGACGTGAGGCTGGGGTCGGCCATGCCAGATGTGATGAAGAGGAGGAGGAGGACGATGTGTGTTCCAGTTGTTGCTCCCTGAGCTGCAGGCGGCTGAAGGTCTGCTGACACCGCTGTCTGTCTGCTTGTGTATCTGAGACCTGCCTCGGTGCGGGACTCGGGCTCAGCAGTTATCCAGGTCAGCGCTGTCTCCTCAGGTCTGTCAAGAGGACTTCCTGTGAGGAGAGAGATCACAGAGACACAGCAAAGGCAGATGAAGGAGCTGTCATACTGAGGCCTTATGGCAGAGAGGCAGGATGAGAGAGGAGCGTTCAGCCAACAGGAAGCCCATTCACATCAGAAACCGCTAACAGCCGTGCAGAGGAAAGGCCTTCTTTTTGTTGCTGCTTCCAGTGTGTTTCATTAGACGCCACATTTATGTCATAGGATAAAAATTCATGGATATCACAGTGACACAGCCAACCTCTATCAGTCAAGCAGACCCTTCAATAAATGAAACTTCAGGAACGCAGCCCTGCCTGTCCATGGTGCTGGGAGGGTTTGAAACAAGGTGTGGTCCAATGCAGCACATCTGTAGTACGCTGTTCGTAGATCTACTGCACTTCTAGTTTGTAGGTTTCTTGTTAAATAAATACAGAATCCAAGCTCCACCTGAGATAAACGTTTACGGACAGTTTCTTCACTAAACATCAGAGTCACTGAGAACAGTTCACATTTGTTAATAAGTAAGCTGAGTTTGGGTGTGATATTTGGTGGAGGGTTCTGATTTCGCTGTTTCACCTTCACCTTTGAGCCTTTTGGTTCAGCTGGTTGCCACCAAATAGCCCTTTCTTCACTCTAATCATTTGTTTATGGAGGCAACACTGCACTATAATAAGCTTCTTTACCCTCAGCTGATTAGAATCTGGTTGGTTGCTTAAATTCTGCTTTTTTAATCTTTGATAAAGCTCAAACGATAATTACAAATTGCATGAGTAACACTCTTCTGTCAAAGTGTCCCTGTTCTGCTCAGGACATCCATCTAGTTGAGACGTCAGACTGCCTCCGTCCAGCCTTTACTTTCTTTCGTCTTGCATTGTGCAGCACTTTGCACCGTTTCATTGCAGAGATCTTTAAAAGCAAGTTTTAATACAAGTCTGTACGTAGACCAACTAAAACAAGTACAAACACATTCTTTATTTACATGTGAAAAACAGCTGCATGCTTTTGGAGTCTCAACACTTTTCACTGGCAGCAACACAAATATTCAACATGTTCTGGCTGGTCAGAACTCCTCGGCTGTGTGTAGTTAAAGGGGGCTGGTTGAGTTGTTGTAATGTAAGGGAACAACAGCACAGATGGTTCTGCAGGAAAAAAAGAGCCCCAGTTCTATGAGTTTATACGATTCACTGGATGTATGTCGTCGTATCGACCGGCCACTGGTGGTCCACATCCAGGCTAGAAAGTTTTGATGATCTTACAATAAGGCAGCCTTGCTATTTGTTTTCTGCAAATGATCAGTTTTAATGATTGTCACTGCTTCAAAGAAATGCAAACGAGCACGATGATAACGTGTCAGACTATTCTACACAGCACTGGGTCGACACTACGGTCCGGCTACGTGAGGCGAGGCCACAGGCGGGTGGCCAGAGATGAATCAGTGGCGTCCACCTCCTGGTTCTGGCCCTGCAGCTGCATTCCACCCAACAGGTCTGTACGGTGACGGTAAATTATTTATCTCCAACCATAGTAATAAAGGCGGAGATTAAATTTTCATTCCTGTTGGGTGTGTCCCAGCAGGGACTGGAGTTCATGTTCAACACATATTGGGGTCAGAGGGCTCCTCCTGTATCCACATGCTGCTGGGTCCCTCCTTCCTGCTTCCTCTACTGTCACATTCTCATAGTTGTTGCATCTGATGGTCTTTTATTTATTTAGTGCTCCAGGAATGCAGCACAAACGTATCTCACTAAATGCATAAGATGTGGAGCGCGTGCATCTTGACGCCCACTCCTCCGTGATGCAGGCACGCGGCGTGACGTAAGCACAGCTGCAGAACTCCAGTGGTGCGCTCGTGACGTCAGCCCCCCCCCTTCCTCCCAAATGAACAATTTACGTATCCTGTAATCTAACGGTGACCACTACACGAGAAAAAACACAAAAACACCGCGACAGCAGAATCACAGCTCCTCTGCTGACTTCCATCACTCATGATCATATTGATCAGAAACGATGTGAGCGGACACAGACGCTTCCAGATGCAGGCAGCGGCGGGACAACATCTGGATGCGCAACAAACACAAGACTTCAGAAGGTCACGGCTGCTGTGACCTCCTCCTCCTCTGTGGTTCCGTTCAGCAGAAAGCTTGACTGATCAGAACTGTGTGTGTTGGTGGAGTTTGTCCAGAACCACACAGTTCCCGACTCTGCTGACAGACGGGTCACAGCTTCACTTCTCTGTGTGTCCCCGCATTGAGAATCAAGGCATTTATAATCACCTCTGTCTCAGAACTGAGCGGACAATGCTCTGAAAGAACACAACGAACAAGAAGCAAATCACAGATGAATAAATCTCTTTTTCATTTAGCGTTTTTTTTCTCTCTTTCCAGTCAGGCTTGCCTAGAACATATCTTACTATTCATAAATATATAGAGTCCTGATTCAAAACAAAAGCCAGCCTTCCTGCAGCCGCTCACACACGCACCACAGTCACATAAATATGAAAATCTTTATTTACTCACTGCATCGGGCTGGAGGTGGAGGACGGTCACCGAGTGCCAACGAGCGCGTTGCAAAGTCGCTGCGGATTATATAACCAGTAATTAAATAAATAAAGTCGACAAAATCCGCGCAGAGCGACGGAAAGACCCTGATGTGACGGCGAGAGGAGGAGGAGGAGGAGGAGGAGAGGAGGAGGCTGAGTCTGCGCAGCTGGCGGAGATTCCGATGGCGTGATGTGACTCCGTGTGTGTGTGTGTGTGTGTGTAGGTGTGTGTGTGTGTGTGTGTGTGTGTCCGACAGATTTGTAGGGACCATTTAAAAAGAACAACAACAACAAACCGGCTGTTTGAGGGTTAATTCTTATGTGCAGCAATTGGCTCACAAAGATAGTAAGACAACGACTTCCTTCATTCTTCTGGTCTTGTTCATCTGCAGAGGAACAGAGGAGCTCAGTGTGGTGGTGAGGAAGAGGAGGAGGAGGAGGAGGAAGAGGAAGAGAAGGAGGAGGAGGAGGAAGAGGAGGAAGAGGAGGAGGAGGAGGATGGTGCATGTGTCCTTGGTGCACGTTATGTCCTGTTTGGTCCTGAAGGCTCTTGTTTCATCACATATGTTGACCAAAACGCTCACAACGCCTAAAGTGAGCTCCTATATATCTACAGTCTACAGCAGAACACTCCTGTGCATCATTACTTCGACCTTTAGAGGCTGTTTGGGGTCAAATTTGACCCATTTTGACATTTGACAGCAGTAAAAAACACCTTAAATGTCATTGCTTTAACTGGACATTTGATGACTTTTAGCAAAGCGACCCATAATACACACAAATTAAAATAATTTAAAATGTTGTACTTCTGCACAGGTGCTACAAGCTTTTGTACTCTGAAGCTGTTTGGGGTCAGATTTGACCCGTATATCCATTGAGATGAATTTTAGATCTACCAGTGTGGGTCGAATTATTGTGTGCATGTATTATTGTGACATCAGCTATTTAGACGCTCTAAACAGATTTGTAGTTTAAAATCTGGTGTAGACGCTTACTATGAGGGGGTTCTTGACAGTGTGGTCAAAATTGACCCAAACCACACTGTGAAGGCATAAAATCTGAACCGTGTGTCAGAGTTAAAGGCCAGATAATAATAAATCCCATCACCTTACAGTAACTGCATCACTTCTAACAGAAGGCATCTGCTCATGTGTAAAATAAAAACTATTTTACAGGCTCCACAGCAGGACTTCAATGCACCAACATTTCATTACTTAGATTCAAATCTTACATTTTTTATTTAATATGTCCACCGCTTGTTTTGGTGAGACACCAGCGTTGCACAAAGTTCTTTTGGATTCAAGTCAGACGATAAACTTGCTTCTTTAGAGACTCCTGTGTGATGTTGTCAGTGTTCTTTGGATTATTCTTTATCCTGCCAAACTTCTGCAGACTGGGAGTTAATCTGTTCAGCCAGTTTTATAAAAAAAAAAAAAAACCCAAAAAACACCTTTTTGCACTCATGCAGCTCCACATCATCCCACCTCAGTGCTGCACTGTCAGGACGATGCATTCACTGTGGTAGTAAATGGCAAATGGTCTGCACTTACATAGCACTTTTCTACCTCAGTGGCACTCAAAGCGCTTCACAAGGTTTTCTCATTCACACATTCATGCACCAGTTGGGAGCAACTTCAGGTTCAGTGTCTTGCCCAAGGACACTTCGACTGTGGAGGGGCAGAGATCGAACCTTAAATCAGAGGACAACCTGCTCTACCACCTGAGCCACAGCCGCCCAGTCCTGGTCAGATTCACGCCAAACATGGCGGATCCCACCAAATTTATCTTGGTCTCATCTGACAGATGAATGCGTTCCAAATATTCATGTTTTCAACGGGACCTGCTTGAGTTCCTTGAAGACGTTCCACCTCTCATCCAAGAGGCTCCATCAGGGCTGACTGACTAGTTGGGAGTTCCACATACTGATATCCTGAAGGAGACATTAACACCTGAGTTTTGGTTTCAACTGAGGGTTTGTTGCTCCTTCCCCTCATTATGTGAGTCGTTAGCGCTCCCCATGACACAGTGGGGCTCGTTAGGGTCTTCGTGGCTAGGTGTGGATGTGGTTTCATCTTCCAGGGTAGAGATCTTAGGACTGAACTGTAAACAGGTGAGAGGTGATGCCTCAGACCTCCAATAACCATGACCTGGATGACTTGTTCATGTGCTTCACGCTGTCTAAGCCGTCATGGACATTCCCGGTGATAATCCCTGTGCCATGTCTGAAGCACCTGTTTAGAAACAGAAGCAGCACACCGTCTGTGGCGTCATGTCAGGAGGACGACCAGCTCTGATCAGGTTCACTGGCTCATTCTGTAGCTCCCACGAGAGGCAATGATGCAGATGGACACAGCCCATAGAGAAAGTTCTGGTGGTCATTTTACAACCATGTTCATGCTGTTAGAGCCTTTGGGGGATGTATTTTTAACATAGTCTTTCTAAAGTATTTGATTATCAATAAGAAATACTCTATAACTGTGAGAGGTGTAGAGTTTAGAATCATTTGATGTTTAAATGTTATTGCACAGGATGCTGTATGCCGTTAGCACATTCATCCTTCTCCTGAGCTACGTTTTCTGCAGCCTGTGTGTCTGCAGCTCCAGCACAGGTCACATGCAGTCGGTCTATTTCTGCTGAAAAAACACTCAAAAGCCCGTCCTAGTTTCACAACAGACAACCGCAGCGACAACAACTGACCATGCAGTTGTCACATGAAACAGCCCACTGCATTGCACAATAAACAGCAGTATATGTGTGTGTGTGAGATGCAAACTAACAGCGAGCAACGTTTAGCATGCAGAGGGCAGATCTGTGCCCTTCACTGCCCCTCAAACTGTAGGATTTACAGGCCGCCCACTAATCCTCTGTGATATACTTTCTATAATCACACAAACCACTCACTCCGATGATACGCCTTTTTACTGAAACACAAAACACATGAATCAGTTAAGGATGTGTGCACATGAGAAGCGGGAGAGGTTATATCTACCATGGAAAGTAAATCTCTTACAAATTTGACTCCCACTAAAAAATAACGTCTTCATATTGTTGTTATTTGGATCTTGCTGTTTATGCATCAACATAAATGTCCCCCAGCTTCATTTCTCACCTTCAAACTAAAAAAAAAAAAAAAGGCACCACATACATTAATCTGACAAATCAGTCAACACATCTTTCTGTAGCACCTGTATGTCTGGTTAAAGCAGTGACGACATCATCGTTCGTTGTTCTTCACATGAACATGAAGCTGGTACGCTTCGGGTCGAGCGCCACACCGACACCGACCCGGTTCATAACACAGCTTCACTTTGAGTCTCGACTTCTGCACCAGACAGCATGGCTCCATGTCTCTGGTGTTTCAGAGCAGCTGTAGTCATTAAACGCTCTCCTCCTCCTCTTCAGCGCTAACTGTTCCACCAGGACAGCAGCCCCAGCCCGGGTTCACAGATGGTCCCCTGAAACAAAAACACAAAAGGTCAGGAAGGCTCTATGCTTTCCGAGTCCCTCTCCAGACGATGATTTAACCCCTAAAAATTCATCCCTGTGACTGTATTCTGACTTCATTTTTTCTTTCTTAAGTCATACCTGAAAACCAGTTCTAAAGAAAAAACAAAATCTGAATTCCAGAGGGGTGACTGCAGAGAGCTGCTGTTTGTAGATCAACACGTGTACAGAAAGAAACCGGTATTAAATCTGAAACTTCACAACTTCCACCAACAAAGCCACAAGATGCTCGTCGTGTTTTATCATGTTCTGGCTTCTCCGTAGAAATCTTGCTGCCATGAAGTTTAAGTACCAACTGAGTGCATTTAAACACCATAAATGACTATACATTGCTTATCTGAGTTAGATTTTAACATCGTTGAAAAGAAGACCCTCGTGGCTCCTTCTTAATGCCAGTTATGTGCTCATGGAGACAAATTTGTGCTTTTCAGAGCAGGTGACAATTTATTCTCCAAAAACAACAGACCTCTGTTCTAGCTGGTCACATGACACACTGCTAAAATCTACAAAAGGCTGCAAAAGCTTCGTTACATAATTAGCCGATTAAAAGTCGTACATCAAAAGATGAAAGACCACATCGGTATCGGCCGATATTAGTGTTTTTTCCGATATACCGGTATCGGTCCGATGAACACATTTAGCCGATGATTGTCTGACATCAGTACCTTCGTCTCTGCGTTTGATATCGCTGCTGTTTCACAGATGTTTTTACGTGAATGGTCCTGGACTTAAATATGCTTGTTACGTAATCAAGAAGACTATGGGGTCTAATCTGGGCTTCTTTTGAATAGTTTTCTCACAGTGCTACTTATATTCAGTTTTCAGGTTGAACAAAAATTGAATATCGACGTCGGTAATATCAGTTATCGGCGATATCAGAAATCCTAATATCAGTATCGGCCAGACATTTTAATATCGTGCATCACTAAAAATTCATAAAAATATGACACATATTAGTACTAAGAGTCACAGCACACAGATCCGTAACCTGATTTACATTTAGTTCTGGAACCATGTTTCTAGCTTCAAGGCTACTGGAGCTACAACACACTTTGGTTCCTTAAGTTTGGCTTGGTATGAGACCACAGAATATTTGTTTTTGAGTCGTCAGTACAGCTGGACTTTCTCAGCCATGGCCTTGGCTGCTTAGTTCACTCATGACAACAAATAAAACACCACACGGATTCGTTAACGAGGTCAGATGGGTTTTAAAGTCGCTGCAAACCCACACATGGCTGACTCTTGTTTTGGTTTGGCCTCAGGACAAATCTCCTGAACCCCAGAATAAGAGTCAAGAGCGACATTTAAGATGAAAAAAACTACAATCGGTTCATGTGCAGCCGGACACGTTGAGCTCCTTCCACAAACAGTGCCGGCCTCGAGGCAGCACAGAACCAGAGGAGCAAAAAAGCACAGAGCTACAGATTTGTTGTGCTGCAACATCCATTTTTTATAACCCTGCTCTGCAAGAATAGCCTGAAAGATACCGGCCTCTCATCATTCATTCATCACATGACCCGGTACTTTAACATACACACGCACAGCATCTTAATAAGGATTCCTCAGATTCAAGTGCTGGTTTGTGCATTTTAAAAATGTTTTTGGCGCTTCAGTTCTACTGCTACCTATTTGTTAAGTGTTCCTGTAATGAGCTGATCAGCTACACATCAGTCAGGCTCGATCAACACACAGCAGAGGACCTTCCTCCACTACAGCATCCACAGCACCCTCACCAGGAACTGATGGTAAAGTACATTCATTCAGCAAACTGTCCAATTATCAGCCAGGTTTGCAAGCAGTTTGCCACACAGTCAAGCTTTGGATGCTTTGCTCAGACCTGCTGCTTCACACGAACCAAGTCGTAGCTCAGCCTCAGAACCTGCAACTGCTGCTTTAAAAACACATGTGTGTCCACGCCGGCTGTGCTACCAGGACAGAGGGTCCATGAACGGAATACACAGACTGAGCATGTGCACCATGGTCCTCCTTAAAGCCTGAATCACAGTTCCTGACAGCTGCGAATGTAGCTGCTGCTGTGGAACTACTTTTCTAGTATGCTGGAGGAGTCTGTTCTATACATGTGCAGTAGGTCCTGTCTGTGTGTTCTCTGCTGAGCACGTGCACACATTATTAACACCGTAAAGCAGAACCAGCGTGGACTGACTGACTGATGCTGAGCAGCTTGTGGACCACCGTGGAAGGAGATCTAAGACCTAATGTCAGAGCCTCCCCAAACACTGGCCTAAGAGCAGCAGCTACACATTCACGGTGCCCACAGCTGTAAGTATGTAAGTAAGAAGTACTCAGAGGGATTACTAAGCAGTAACTACTTCTATTGAAAAAGTAAAAATACTTCCAAAGAGGAAAAGCACCTGGGTAGCTCAGGTACAGACTTCATCATGTAATTCAAACACAGAGATGCAGTCTCAGGTAAATTTGAAGCAGGTTTGGTGATTAGTTCAGCCTAAAATATGGGTTTTGAAAAAAGAGGCAGCTTTTAAACAAGGACACAGCTCCAGGTCCTGGAAGTTCAGGTCCCATCGAAGTTGGAATCAGACTATGAGCTTCAAACTGGAGCTGCACGCTAAAACTTCTACTAAAATATCATCACCATGTGGAAAAATACAGTCGTTTGTACCAGATGACTTGAATGACTACTTGTCATGGCTTCATGGTTCTGACTTAAAAAGTCAAACAAACTACATGTGTCGTGAATTTGCAACAACTGCGAGACTCTGCTGATAGTTTCTGGTGATTTTGGCTTTTTCTTCCTTCTCTCCGGTTCCTCGCTCATGTTGCTGTGCACCAGCAGAGCCTGGAAAAGGGGAAACATTCGAGTTTTCTTTTTCTATCTTGTGGCGAGTGGTGCCTCCTTACAATCAAAGTGTACGGTGCCTCCTTCTTCTCTCCGCTGTCTTCTGCTGGCGGCGCAGTCAACTGTCCTGGTTGTGCCGGCGCGTCAGGCGTTGCGGTGGCAGGACCCGTTGGTGAAGTGTCCACAAACACTTCATCCGTCACCCGAAAGCGGATCTCCTCCCCCTGGTCCATGTAGAGGTCGTGAGCGCCCTCGTCCGTTTCATACTCCCAAAGCCAGACCTGCTCTGCTTCATCGCTGATGCTGCGGCTAAGGAAGACTCCGCTACCATCACTAATTCGTCAAGCAAATGTTACGAAGCCAAACCTCAACAGCACTTAATTTCCTTTGTAGGAACACCGTAGGTCAGGATACAACTTTGCAGGCTGCTGGAGCGACTCTGGGGGAATGAGGATGTCGTCAAAGAAGCCCATTGTCACTGTGAAGGAGAACGGCCACAACGTTTACAAAAGGATTTTATCAAAAGCAGGGATTTGTGAGATTTCAGGTCAAACTCAGACTATGTTGAAGTTGTCTAGGCACACTTTTTTTCACACCTCTACAAGACAAACACTTCTGGAATCTGCATCTCTGATGAGCCCCAAATACAAGGTAGAATAAGTAAAGTTTTTACAGACAAGACTAGTTTCCTCCATGATGAGCCAGACTTCCATCCATCCATCATCTCTACACCTTAATCCTCACCAGGGTCATGGGGGGGGGAGTCTATCCCAGCTGACTCAGGGTGAAGGCAGGTTCACCTGGACAGGTAACCAGTCTATCACAGGGCTACACTTAGAGACAGACAACCAAGCCCACTCACATTCACACCTACGGACAATTTACAATCACCAATTAACCTCAGCATGTTTCTGGACTGTGGGAGGAAGCCGGAGAACCCGGAGAGAACCCACGCTGCACGGGGAGAACATGGAGACTCCACGCAGGAAGATCCCGGGTGTCCTCACCGGGACGCCAACCGGCGACCTTCTAGCTGTGAGGCGACGGTGCTAACCACTGAGACACCTGCAGCCCACAGGGGCATCAAGAATTCTTAAATTCTAAAAAATGTGCAAACAAACTTGAAACAGTTGAAGAGAACTGACCGTGAACTCCCTCCTGACTGCAGTACTTGATCTTGCCGATGAGGATCTCGTCGAGGAACGGGTGAAAAACGACGTATCTGAAATGAACTGACACAGAGACAGAAGGACGATGGGACCAGATCTGTTTTGGGATAACAGGAACACAGTGGGAAGAAGGAGGAGTCTCAGTCCTCCAGGTCATGGTTATTCAGGAAGATTAATCGTAGCAACTGGACTCGCTTGAGTTCCTTGAAGACATTTATTAAAACTGAAACTCAGGTGTTAATGTCTCCTTCAGGATATCAGTATGTGGAACTCCCAACTAGTCAGTCAGAGCTGATGAAGCCTCTTGGATGAGAGGTGGAACATCTTTAAGGAACTCAAGCAGGTCCAGTTGCTATGATTAATCTACACACACCAATGATCCACAACACTGACGTCCTCCACAGTCACTGTTCAGAACCCTACAAACCCATCTGTGTGTCAACGCTGCATCATGAAAGTTTTTTTCATGAGAAAATCCCTTCCCGCTTTAAAACGACTCAGAAGTAACTTCATTGCTCCTCTATGAAGTCCCAGCCTCTCTCCATGGACCCCTGAGCACACCAGCTCACCTACAACTGTGGTAAACCCTGTAAAACTACTCTATGCTCCACAGTGGCAAGTTGCACCGAAACATTGCACTAATAAATTTATCATGCAAGTCAGACAGCGTGCGGGAGTCTGTTTGGATGTGCTCGTCCACATCCTACACTCCTGACTCATGTTATAGATGTGCTAAGAGTTCCTTTGGGTTTAAATCTACCACCCACCTAAAACATGGTTACGGACCAAATATGCACCCCAAGGAAACAGCACTTCCAGATGGCCCAGTAGAACAATGTGTCCCGCCTCACCAGAAATAAAAGCCCAGTAGTAACCCCAACAACATGACAACAAGTCCTAAGTGTCGACTCAGCAACCAAATCCCACCAAGCATCCGTGGGAACGAGCACGATCCACAGAGGCCCCGACCCACAACCCACAGGGCTTAAAGGATCTGCTGCGAACATCCTGTCGTCCATGTCGCAACCGATCAGAGCAGTTTTAGTGGCACAAGGGGGACCTACACAATACTAACAGGCGGTTTCAGTGTTATCGTACAGTACGAATATCTGCACTGAGACTCCACCTCATCATCGTCATACCTTTAGTGTGCGAGGCGCCGTCTCCTGGGAATATATAGGAGTCGTCCAGTTTAGTGATGTCGTACAAGCAGATGCAGAGGCCCACATTGTAGACCACCTGAGGCCAGGAGAGAGCAGGTGACAGCTTAGCCTACAAACACACTCTAACGGGAACCCACGAGTGCTTCAGCTGTCGAAAAATGTTGGAACGTGTTGGGTTCACGTTGGTCCGTATTAACATTTTTATACTTTGGACTTGTACAGTTTTGATCTTTAAACTTTAAGTAAAGAGAACTGAAACACATGCATTAAAAGCCAAATCATTGTTCTGACTACTTTAACATAGTGTCAAGACTCTAATACACATAAATACACAACACAGTCAGTAAACAACACAATGACTCTCTTTTTGCAAAAATGTTAAACGTCTAATTTACAGAAGTATTCGGATCCTTAATTCAGCATTTTGTAGAAAATCCTTTGGCAGCAGTTACAGCGTCGGTGAGTCTCTACCAGCTCTGCACACCTGAATCCTGACAGTTTATCCTCCTTCAGCGAACATTTTCTGAATCCCGTGTACGTCGTAATTTATCAGATGAACACTGCGATTCAATTTGTGTGTCTGTCTGGGAAAAGCGAAGCCCTCATGCATCCGCGGAGATCAGCCTTGTGTCTGATCGAGAAGTTGCTACGAGAGATGCTCATCAGGACGGTTCTTGTGATGATTCTTGGATTTATCTTGGCTTATCTCACTAAGACTCGTGCCAAAGCGAGAGTCACTTTTGGCTTCCTACCAGAGAACTTTCAGTGTAGAACTGTTGGAATGGGACAGAATTTGCAATGGTTTCGAGGAATATAAATGATTTTAGAGACGGCATTTTTAGTAGAAGTGTTGCAGAAGCTAGACTGTGTTTTGTCACTTGTGTATGTCATTTCCAGCAAGAACAGAGGAGAAGACGTTCCTATACATCACAGGTTGGCATGAATCATTTGGTGCTTAACTGTGCTTTTTGTCTGAATAAATCACATCACATCTTTAATTTATAACCGATGTTGATGAGGACAGATGCCGACCTGCCACCTCACCAGCTCAGAATGAATTCATCTGATTTTAAAGCTGCTTTTATTTATACGATCTTACCGTTTTTATTTTATTTATTTATTTTTGTTAGTTTTATCCTATTTATTTTTACTGTAAACCACTTTGTGTGTTTTGAGAAGTGCTGTACAAATAAACCTACTATTATCAACGACCTGCCCGAGGACATCAGGTGATTCTGTGCTCTGTTCTAAGACTTAAAACACATTTTTATCGGAGAACTTTTCCTGATTTTATTTATGTTTTATAGCTTCCGGCTTTATTTGTGTGCGTTCTACTTTTATCAGTTATTTTGTGTGCTTGTTGTATTTTAATTTTAATTTTATTTTTTTTATTGAAAAGCACTTTGTAACATTTGTTGAGAAAGGTGTTCTATAAATAAAGTTTATTAATTATTATTATTATTATTATTATTAAGGATTTGCTTTGTTCTTTCTCACCACTTTTATTATAACAATTATTATTATTATTATTATTTCTTCAAAAAAATCAGCAGCTAGCTGGATGAAACTAGCTGACTGAATAAAAGCTGTAGTAATTTGGTTGTTTTTCCTGTGATGCTAACATGATGCTAACATCCGGAAGCGTGCAGCGGGGTGTTCCGGGTGCTGAGAACCGTCTTTGTCACCTTGTTGGCCAGCTTCTTGTTGAGCTCCTCGGCTATGGCTTCGTTCAGCTGTCTCTGGAAGCTCCACGGCGGGATGCGGACGGTGTCGACCATCTCCACCAACACGAACATGATGCTGAGCGGCTACAGACGTAAACAGTTCCACCGGCCTCAGCGGCTTTTTTAACCGGAAACCATTTGATCTTCTTCTTCTTCTCTAACACTGTCCTCAGCAGAGAGAAAAGTTTATAGTCGGCATTAAAAAAAAAAAGAAAAGAAAAACACAAGTTACCTACACAACATGAGTTTCATCCATGACGTTCCCACGTGATTATTTACGGCAGTGCACATTTACGACACGTCGCAAAATTTAAAGATATAGTACACCGTTTATGTTTGTTGTGCTATTATGGAGCCTTTTAATTCAGTATTAAATAAACATTTATATGAAATAAAGAAATGATAAATAAATCCTGGCAATATTGATATATACATATAAAAAAAAACAAAATTAAAAACAAAATAAAAAACAAAAAATGTACAAACATGAGTTGGAAAAGGAGCAGGAAGAAGTTTTTGGACATTAACTCCCAGCCCCTCATCACCCTGTGATTCATTACATGTTCCTACATATAAAAAATGGATTTATTATAAAATATGCATCAATATATAATCAATTAGCTGCACCCATATACAGTACACATAATCAATTTCTTGACAATAAATGTGTAATTTACTAATAGATTGTTATAGAAATTTATATTACACACATATAATAAATGCAATAATCGTATAGAAGTCAGCAGATGCAACACTGCCAGACTGACAGTCACAAAAAAAACACACAAAACATTCACTTCAGAATTTGATCTTTATTATTTCACTACTCATAATGTAAATATTGAGATATTTGAAATTTTGTGAGCTACAAAACTGCAGGCATTTTCAATTTCAACTTTACTTTGACAAGATTAAGTTGCTAAAACAGGAGTGTGAGGATATTTACCGCTGTGGAATAACATCAGGTCATATTCTGTGTTTATTTACTGCATCGGAACAAATGGGGCACGTTGAAGAGTTGATTTCAAACATATCAGCAGGAGTCTGATCAAACCGAGCATACCTGAGTACAGAATGACACCATTAGCATCAAAGCCGCCACACAATGCTTTCATGATTTCTCACTTTACAGCAGTGCTTTAAAGCTCAAAGGCTCGAACCAGTGGATAAACATCATCGTATGTCACAGTATGAGCTTCACAATTTGCAGAAGACAAGAAAAGAGGATGATCAAATCAATCAGTAGTTTTTCAAATGTTTTTAAAAGCCTGAATCAAATCATCATCACGGTCACAGTGACGTTGATGAAATGTCTAATGACACATTTAGATTGTAGGAAACACATCATGGATAACCAGTACTTCTCATCGTCCCGGTTCTTTCTTCAGGCATCTTTGGCTGTAAACCTGACACACTGACGATGAGTTTTTTAACCGTCACGGCGAGGAGCGCAGCAGCAACATCAAATCATGTTTGTGACACAAACTGCTGCTGCAATTTAGAATCATCTTCATAATTCAAACAAAAGTGAAAATTAGCAAAATACAAAAAGCCTTTAAGCGTTACCTTAACAGTAAGTTATTTTCCACAGTCAAAGCCCTGCAGGAACCGCTTTAGGTCACACGCTGTTATAAAATATCACACACCATCCTCTCAGTTACACAGGCAGCATACAACACGTTACTTATATGTATATCATATAGTTTGTATTTAATTAGACATTTAAATATATATATTATCATGTATTACTTATGTATACACGTCTGGTCATTGTGTAGCTCTACACCACATCATCACAGTCACGTCCCAACTCTGTGGCTTGAGGGGGGTTTGCCTCATAAATACATTTTTATTAGTGCAACAGCAAAATCAAGAGGGAATAAGTCTATAGACTTTGTGCGTAAGAGGGAGAACAAAACAAAGGACCAACAGCACTCCCACAGAAATCACCAGAAATCTGCTTCAACATCCCAGAAAACACACAACCACACATTTTCAGTGGCACCAAGAACGTTCTTGAGTCTTTCTACCGTTCGGAAACAGGAAGAAGAATCGTGCGTACGCTGTCGGGGGAAAATCAACGCATGTCAGACGACACCTACAACTACGTCCCTAACTCTACAAAGTGCCAGTGTACAGGCATCTGGACACTAGATTGTGCGTTATGTTGCTCAAGAAGACAGCAGGCCTTTCCAAGACTATGGAGGACCAAGCCTCAACCTGAAAAAAAACATTCAGTTCAAAGATAAACACTCTCGTCTCTTAGTACAGCTAGACGGGGGAGTTTCACACATTGGCAGGTTCAGATGATAGTGAAGACTAACTGAAAGAACTGGTACCTAAACAAAGAGAAATCACATAACAGGTCTGAGCTGGACGGCCAACTGATCTGCCCAGAGGGTTTAACTGGGACAACAGAACGACAGATCTATGACATAGGAGCGGAGTGTGATACTATACAGCTTTACTGCATTCTGCTATGGGCACGGAAGATTTCTTGGGTTTGTTAACGACACTAAAATTGACATAAAACAACTCGCTAAGTACAGGCTCACCGCCCAGCAACACAAACCGGATTAAAGCCTATTTCACCAAACAGGTCAGGTTGGAGTCAACTTGCTCAAATAAAAAAAGTAGAGCGGCGCCAGCAAAGAAGGACAAACAGATGCAGACACGGAGTAACCTGAGAAAACCAATCATCATCACACACACAGACGGAAAGGACAAATGGAACGGCCAACACAATGGTTGGTTTGTTGTCTGAGTCTGAAGGGGCAGTTTTTACACAACGGTGCAAAAAGACCAACCTTGCATGTGAGCATTAAGTGAGCAGCTGGGAATGTCAGCGAGTACAACAGCAGCAGCATGAAAAGTCGAGCGAGTGAGAGGGATTTCATTAATGTCGCTTACAGTCGTGAGCGAGCCTGGGAGTTCGCTTATATTGCTGCCCCAATCACCAATGACTAATATGAGTCAGGGATGGCATCAGAAAGCAGTAAAGGACACCTAGATCAAGGTAACTCAATGTTTAAGATGCACTTTAGAGGATCTTCAGATTTAGAATTCAGAGATAAAAAGTCCTTTTCCACTGTCAGGGAGGTTCAAACCTTTGTGCATGTTAGAACCGCTTTCGGAGGGCCTAGAAAAACCACTGTGTGGGGCTTGACTGGTTAAACTCAGGGCAGGACCACAAGCAGCCATGTTTCAGCCTCCCTCTGTCCTCGAGCTGCAGCAGCTTCTCTCCATCATATCAGCCAACATAACACACCTCCACTGTTCTATTCCCTTTGTGCTCATAGAACTGGAATCACGTACAGCAACTGTTTGTCGCTGTTTTGGAGTTAACGTCGCAGTCGGAGCCATCGCATTCTGCATCGCATCGGACACAGAAAGGCTAGAAGGGCCTGGAAATGTTTATTCTACCTCTCACCTGCCCAGAGTTACTGCTGTCCAAGGCTGCCTATAAAGGGCAAGTACGTGAAAGTCAAACGACTCATTCGGGGTTTTTGAGCTTCCAGTGGTCGATACTGAGAGAAAGTTAGATGTAAAGGACACCTGTCTCTGTCTAGTTTTGGAGTGGTTTTGTAATTTCAGGTGTTAAAGCTGGAGTAGGCAGCATTTTTTTTGGCATTACTAAGAAAAATCAAACCTTTCAGCATATTGTAACTCAAGTGGTCTGAGAGAAAACCAGACTTCTGCACCACCTCCTGGCTCTGTTCTTAGAGTTTAGAAAATCTGGTCTGTGACGGGACGTTCTAGCCAAGTTTTCACTCATCAGATGTGATAGTATAAACATGACAAGAGCTGAATTTGACGGTGCAATGGGTTAGATGGAGGACTTTTAAAATGTTGGGTGAAGCCACAAAATACTGACCTTGAGCTTGAACCTAATGTGGTGGAGGTGGCTCAGAAAAGAGAAGATCTGAGGGAACACCTGCAAGAAATCTGTACGGTTTCAAATTCTTCTCTTTTTGTTGCCACTTCCAGATTTCTATAAACTTTTACTTGTAGCTGCTTCAACTATTTTTGACAATATTACAGATCTGACTTTATTATTCTGAGTCTAAATCAGGTTTGTATACTTCTAGTTCTGATCATTATTGACACCAGCGTGGCATAAATAAATAAAACAGTAAAACGCCGCCCTGTTCAGTGGAAAAGATCAGCATCTATGAAACAGTCACCTGAATGCTGCAATTAACAAATAAGCTTAACTAACCTGATTTTAAAGGAGTGCACATGCATGGGAGTGCTTTAGCAGTAATCCTGTCCCTGTATGTGTGTCAGCGGCCTTCTGTGTGTGTACGCAAGTTAATGTTTGTGTTCTTTCTTTAACCAAGCATGGCTGCACTTTTCCCAAAATAACCTCTGGTTACCCTCCACTGTTCGCATCGTCTGTCCCTCTTTGCAAATCCCCTCTCCAGGTCCACGTTCTTCCCCTTCTCAACCCACATCAAGACCCTTCCATCAGCCCTACAGGCCCCGCCGCCCTCCTCTTCACCCACTACTGGAGCTCCTTCATCCTGTTGAGGGCGGAGCCAGCCTTGAACCACTCGATCTGCGTCTCATTGAAGGTGTGGTTCAGAGAGATGAGCTGCTGGCTGCCGTCGCTGTGCTTGATCACCGCCGTCAGGGGCTGGAGGGATACGGAGAAGGCCAGCAAGGTCGTGTGTCAATAATTTAGGCGGTTTTCCTTCGACATACTGTAAAGAACGCTTGGCTTCCTTTTGGATCAATGTTTCATTAGTGGGGAATTTGTGCTCACCTTGCCCGGAGCAAAGGATTTCAGGCCCGTGATGGAGATCTTGTCATCGGGGCGGATTTTGTCGTAGTCACTGGGATCAGCAAAAGTCAGAGGCAGCAGGCCCTGCTTCTTCAGATTAGTCTCTGTGTGGATAAAGAAGATAGAATAATAATACTTCCATCAGGTAGCTGGAGGAGGGCTCTCCTGCTACACAGACGTACAAGGTCATGGTCGTGTCTATTGTTCACACAGAAAATGCACGAACAGTGGAAGCATAATAAAACTGCACATAACTCGAGTGAGAGTATCTCAGAAATGTAAAACAGATAGATATTTTTTCTTTCCCTCTCTCTGAAGAAACTGACCGTGGATTCTGGCAAAGCTCTTGACGATGATCACGCGCCCTCCCAGGTGTCGCGGCTCCAGGGCGGCGTGCTCCCGACTGGATCCTTCTCCGTAGTTCTCGTCTCCGACCACCACCCAGCTCACTCCGCTGGCCTGAATCAATCAAACAAAGGTCAGGAATAAACTCCAAAACGCCACCGCTCTTTAACAGCGTCGCCTGATTATGATTTCATTTTAATCTTTTGACAAACATGTATTTAGAAACTGGTGTTTTATTAGTTGTAGGCTCATTTTTGCATTTTCAGTTTCAGATCAACTAAGCAATCGTCATATTTGTACACTGTAACCATGGTTACAAGTCTCACCTTGTAGTGACGGGCCACATCTGGCACACCTCCATACTCTCCCGTCAGCTGGTTCTTGACCTTGTTGACTGCGTCGTTATCGATGTTGACGGCGCCGATCAGTAGATTGTTGGAGATATTGTCCAGGTGACCGCGGAACTTCAGCCAAGGTCCGGCGGCGCTGATGTGGTCGGTGGTGCACTTTCCCTTCACCTACAGCATCGGAGGAAAAGAGCACAAGACCGGTAGAGTACAAGACACAGAGGACATCAGAGGGAATTTAAAATTTAATAACAAAAAAACCTGTTTCCCTAGTGGTATAGTCATCATTTATTACTCCCATTCTGTATTTAAGGGATTAATACATATTTTTAAGCAAGTTTTGAACTGTTTTGCCGTTCTCTCTCAGCTCCAAGCCCGTTATTGGTTTCCAAAGACGTACAGTTCTAAACAAAGGTTCACATACAGTTGTAAAGACCATGTTTATCATGGAAGTCTAGGGTTTTAAATTACAAAATACATGCATGTGTCAAAAAAAATGAATCATGCATTTTGGTTCATTCAAAGGGATCGTATAGGTCTTCTGAAAATATGACAACATCTGCTGTGTCAAATATATACATACAACAACTTGAAATGTCAGTTTTGATGCAGAAAGCTGCGTTAATCAAATGTTCTTCGTGGCCTCTTAACTTCTCGTGAGTGATGAAGTCCATGTCAGAAAGCCAACAAATTTAGTTGAACTGCACAATTCTGTCAAGAGAAGAGGTCAAAGATAGAACCACGGGCGCCCGTATAGCTCACCTGGTTGAGCGGGTGACGCATGAACAGGGGCTACAGTCCCCAACGCAGCGGTTGTGAGTTCGAATCCCGCTCATGACCCTTTGCTGCAGGTCTCTCCCTCATTCTTCTCCCCCCTTTCCTATCTCTCTCTACTGCTCTAAATAAAGGCAAAAGCCCAAAAAATATATTAAAAAAAAAAAAAGATAGAACCAGAAGCTTGAGGATCGCTACCAAAGGAGGTGAAAACAGGGACATTTAACGTCTTTTTGATAGTTTTTGGTCAACAGTGGAGCTTTATGGCACAGAGGAATAAGCTACACGAGGCTTACGAGGATCAATGAATTGTTAGTTCTGGGCTTTTCATGCAATTTATTAACAATAAGAAAAAATATATGTGATGCTGTCACCAATAAGTCTCTAAATCTCGACTTGTCTGTGGTCAGGAACACTTTACCTTTACTTTATTATCAGGCCATGCTCGAGGAAACATGACGAGATCATCTGAAGGCTAACAACGTGCCGGTGAAGCACATGGAAAACACTACTACATTCAGAGTAAATCAGAGGAAACTGCAGATGTTCTTTATGAAAGATGCAATTCATAATGTCCTGAAAAAGTACCTGGTGCATTGCACAGACCAAATGTGTGCAGGTAAAGGTGTGCAGAACACGGCTGGTTGATGATCATTTTCTGTCATCACAACCTGACTGATCAGTGGCCGGCCTCAGCGCAGGAAACCTCTGAACTCTCCTTTCTGCCATCCATGTACAGAAAGTGGACGGTACCGAGCTAGAAGGTAGAACTCGTCCTCCATCACTCAGCTTGTGCCTGAAGAGCTACGTGGTGCCGCTAGCGTTCTTAGCAAACTGATGCTAGAACCACTTTCAGACTGCAAATAGCACAGATCTACTTAACCTCTATTCAACGCAGCAAGCTCCTACACTCAACCCGAGCGATAGTCCTGCAGTGTAGCACCGTGCACATCACTGACTGAACCTCCCTATTATTATTATCATTATTAATATTCTGAGTAATAATAATTAGCATGCCACTTGTGACGCACATGTGAAAAGGGAAAGAGAGGTAAGACAGACTCTTCAGCAGCCACTTCCCTCATTACATGTGTAAACCGAGAGTTTGGTGCTTTTTTTTTTACCGATTGAACACAGAGTCCCGTCCAACGCTTCCATGTGATCTTCCCCTACGCCACTGTTTCCATAACCATAATCTTACAGCCCACTGGCCCAAAAACACCCTGCTCACTACACCAAATGCTGTGACATGTTAGTCCCCCACGACAAACACAAAACGCTTAAAAATGACTTCTCAGCAAACCTGTACGTTTTGGAGGTGCTAAAACACTCCTTCCAGTTCAGCTTTAATGCTCCATCACAGACAGCACAACAATCTCATTTAAAACAGTAACACTCACCCTTATTCATTAATACATGAGTAGGATAAAGACAATAAATAACCCAAACAATACTTCTGTACATCCAAGATGCAGTAAAACATGCGAAACCCAAATACCGTCAGCACATACCGGTCGCAGGAGTTTCCCAGAGCGGCCAACCGAGGTACACGTCACCACGTCCCTGCACCTTCACAGCATAAACATATGCACAACACAATAAGCTTCATACACACACACACATCCAAGAGTCCGTTTCACTCAGCTCCCTGTTGCCTCTGGGGAAAAAACAAGCTTGTATCGCAAGGCAGTCGGCTACGCACCACCGCTAATCCCGCAACCGAGCTCGGCACTTTTTTACTGCATCCACAGTCCGTAACAATCAAAGTACCTAAACATAGGGCACACCTTATATTTACAAAGGAAGGAAATACAGGACATGTTCTTCTCCAGGTTATGTCGAGTTGGATGATCAGCAGGCCTGAGTATCATACAGCTGAGCTTCACTTCACTGTCTCCCTGGTGTTCTGATTGTTTGCTAATCCCCCCCTCTTGCACATTCACACCTTGTCTTCCATTTTGTGCTCACCTTGATGAGAACCCTCAGGTCCTCCAGGTCTTTCCCATGCCACTTGTCAAAGGGCTCCAGCAGCTGCAGACGGTTACTCGAGGGGCTCACATCCACCTGAATAACGTGGAGTCAGGGTATTTTTCAGATAGGGAGATACTCAACCTCTAGATCAAACAGATTTTAGTACGAAGAAGTCTGTTTCCTTAATGTGGTTCTGCCGTCTGGACTGATGTGAGCGGACACCGTATATGAAAACAGCTCCTACCTTGACCGAGCTGCCCTCAGTGGGGGGGTGCTGGTAGGTGTCCTGGCCCGGGTCGAAGTCTCTGGAGGGAAGCTCGTCACCGGTGGGGGGTTCCAGCTTGAACTTCTCCCCACTGGGAGCAGTCAGGTAGTCAGTCTCAGGGTTGAAGTTGAGGGTCCCGGCGAGGGCCAAAGCAGTGACGATCTGAGTAAAACGACACAGCAGGCCAATAAAATGTGTTCAGAAAACCAGCATTAGGAGTGTTTACGAACATCCAAGCCACAGAAAAATGCAGCAATTTGGATTTTATGGTAAAGCATGGCACTGAGAAGCACTCAGTAGGCCATGTGTGTGAGGCAGTGCGAGTCTATGCAATGAAGTCTGTGTAATGATAAACCGTGTTCTTGTATTTTGCTTAACATTTAACATGGAAGACTTTTTACCTCAGGAGAGGTGACAAAAGCATGAGTAGCTGGGTTAGCATCATTCCTGGCAGTGAAGTTCCTGTTAAAAGACGTGACGATTGTGTTCTTCTCTCCTTTTTTCACATCCTTCCTGAAGAGAGTTAAAACACACAAAGTGTTGGCCTCATGCGGTATCTTTAACAACACCGTGTGCTCCAAAACACTTCATAAGACTACAAGACCAACGTCCTGCTAGTGGCCCTCAGTGGCTGCAATGCTCATTACATCCAACAGTGTGTAAGTGTTTGAATATGATGGGGTCATTACAATCAAAAAGTTTAATATAAATATCTTTAAAGGGAATCTGCCTGTGACATTACAAGATATATTGAATGTCCTCTAACTTTGCTTTGATTGGTGCAAGAGTAAAGCTGATCAAGTGTCCAAAATGGAAAGAGTTCTAGTGAAAACGTCAATGTACCAGGTGCTTATTCTCATCTTCATTGTGTTTAGTAGGTACAAAATGAAAGTGGTGAGAATATGAAGACGCCTGTTGTGCTTTGATGCAACCTAAACTCAGCCGATGTTTACATCCGTTAGCTTCTTTCCTTCTCACAAATACTGTGTTTTTAAAAAGCTGAATTCCCAATAAAAACCATTCTAGTGCGACACAGCGACTGAGCCCACGAAGACAAACGTTTACCAGCAGTCACTTTGTAGTCACGTGCACGGCGCTGCTCTGCACCACTGAAATACTGATTTTAAAGCGTCAACATCAGCTGCTGTTGATGCAAAGAGAGCCTTCATCCTGAAGGAGGCGTGGACAGCAGCAGCTCGACTGTCTCTACAGCTATAGACTGTTAAACTGCCCCTCAGGGGTTATACAGTCACAGAATGAACCAAAATTAACCATCTTTGTGGTATTTTGAGCAGAAAATTGAAAGACACATTCTGGAGACGGGAGACTTTCAAGAATTTGGCATGTAGGAGCTTTAAGACTGATTTTCTTCTGTAGCTGAAAACTTTTGCCCAGATATAATGCAAAAAACTGAATTATTTATCCTCTAGGACAAGAGTGTTTACAGTACTTCTAATACTTTAATCGAGTCGTTAGTTTTGATATTTCCTTTTCATGAATCAGCATTCAAGTTGTTTAAAACTTTAAAATTATTGACAGTCTGGAGGGTAGCTGCTGAGATATTTTGCTTTGGACCAAAGTGTTGGCAGATCACAATAATCAACAGTTTTTAATATGTTGCTAGCATTTAGCATGAACTAGCTGATAAAAATACCTGTCCCACTGTCCGATGCAGGGTCCACAAGCATTGGCAAGTACAATTCCTCCAACATCACTCAAGATCTTTGCCTGAAAGAAGAAAATGATTTTGAATAAAAAAGATTTTCCACAACTTTCAGTATTGCATAAATGTCTTAACGGGAAAAAAAGACCACGACAAACAGCCCAAGCGTGATGTGTGTTTGTTAACTTTCTGTCTGCGTTAGTGAGAATCTGACTCACGTATCCGTCCCGCTCGATAGTGGCGCGGATTTGTTCAGAACCAGGGGTAACCGTGAACTGGGCCTTGCACTTCAAGCCTTTGTCCAGAGCCTGCTTGGCCAGAGAGGCGGCCCGGCCCATGTCCTCGTAGCTCGAGTTGGTACAGCTGCCGATCAGGCCTGTTTGTGCGTTCGTAAGAGGAGAACGGAGAACAAGGAAGTGAGGGAGTGTACAGTTACAGCGGCAGGTTGGAATTACTCATTTAATTTTAATAACGCATCCAGCATATGAAATGAGAGACGCTGCGTTTGAAGAGGAAGAGGCACGAAAGCCAAGCGAGTCTCATCATCAGACTTTGACTTATTTTGTCAATGACTGGAATTACTGTCCCTTCAGTGCTCAAGGTCACTTTGGGAAAACAGCAGCATGAATAAGCTGTAATGTGATCTGATTACATCTGGCCAATAATGCATCAAGTAGGAGGAAAGAAAGATCACATTTTACTGGAATAAGCATTAGAAATATTAATACATGTGAGGTAATACACAGACACTGACCAACTTTAACCTCCAGGGGCCAGCCGCTCTTCGTGGCTATGGCCCCGATGTCGGACACGGGGTGAGCCAGGTCGGGCGTGAACGGGCCGTTGATGTGGGGCTTTAACTGGGAAACAAGACAGAATGAAGGGCAATAAGAACTTTAAAAAACACTGTTAATTGATGAAATGGCTACCTAACAACTTCTAAATCTGGATTGTCTGTTGAACTATCATACGGGCTCAGTCCCAGCGCCCCCCCTTGGCCCTACCCACTGACCCTAGCCTTCAGTTTTGCCGTGTAGGTCATGTTGTGTCTTCGGGGGATCAAATTGGTCATCCAGTCAGCATGGAGGGTCCATTCAGATGGCTACATGACCCTTCAACTACCAAAAGAAACAGGACATCCAACAATGTGCAAAGCTGAGCAGTAGGACCAAGTGGGTCCATATGTTTGACTCGGAACACTCATAAAGTTCACGCTGCTTTCTTTTGAAGATAGAAAAAGAGTCAGACGGTGCAGATTTGAAAGCAGAGCGTGGGACTTTAACATAAAAACAATTGTCTGTTACATTAAAGCCAAACAAATGAACACAGCGCATATTAAGGCTCTCAGTACTGGATGAATCTTTCTGTATTTTGGACCTATTTTATGTCTTCATTGAAGAGAGATCGTTGAGGAGAGAGAAGAGTGAAAGCAGCAAATGGTCCTGGACTGGAATCAAACCCAAGGCACTGTGGTGAGGACGTGCCCGAGCAGGGGGAGCTCCCTTCGGAGCACCAGGGTTTTAAGACTCCCGTCTGTGGTGATATTCCTGGTGCAATGGTAGCGGTGTTTTACTTCTACCAGCTATGATTGGTCTGTCAGCACTGAAGATGGGAGCAACCATGGCAACAGAGACAGAGGAGGGGGGGGATAAAGCTGTGGCTACATATCAGGTAGTGACAACAGCAACCAGGAGCAAAAACTCAGCAGGAGTCAACAGCATTTGTGCAATTATTCTCACTGCCAGAATGGGGAGACAAATGTTCCCCACCGCAGAGATATGTGACTGGATGGGAAGAGGGCGCAGGAGGAAGCTTTTAAATAACATAAACATTGACATTATTTAATAATTCAGTGAGTTCTCGCTGGCTACGGCACTCACCTCGCTCAGGTTGATCTCAATGAGCTGGTCGTATTCACAGCCTTGATCTGGGACCAAGTCGTCTTTGAAGCGATCTGCCACAGTGGCAATCTCTGTGGACGGAGAGAAAGATGGAGGTAAGACAAAGTGGGGGAAAAAAGACTAAATATACAGAGACAAACAGGATGTGACCTACCTCCACGGCCAGTTTTCTCCATGTATGTCTTCATACGGTGGTTGTAGGGGAACACGGATGTAGTGGCTCCGATTTCAGCACCCATATTACAGATAGTGGCCATTCCTGAGGTGTGTCAGTTTGGAAATAATAGTAAGAAGAAGAATGAATTAAAAAATCATTACCTAAACCTGCAAAATATCATATTTGGATCTGTCATTACGCTTCTTGTCTCTCCATCCATCATCTCTACACCTTAACCCTCACTAGGGTCATAGGGGGCGGAGTCTATCCCAGCTGACTCAGGGTGAAGGCAAGTTCACCTGGACAGGTAACCAGTCTATCACAGGGCTACACTTAGAGACAGACAACCAAGCACACTCACATTCACACCTACGGACAATTTACAATCACCAATTAACCTCAGCATGTTTGTGGACTGTGGGAGGAAGCCGGAGAACCCGGAGAGAACCCACGCTGCACGGGGAGAACATGGAGACTCCACGCAGAAAGATCCCGGGTGTCCTCACCGGGACGCCAACTGGCGACCTTCTAGCTGTGAAGCAATGGTGCTAACCATCTTGCAGCCCCCTCTTCCTTTCTTTGTTGCATATAAACAACACTGTAAGCCTTGCCATGATCCTCATCCTTACCAGTGCAGGAGACTGAGTCAACTCCAGGCCCATGATACTCCACAATGGCCCCTGTGCCACCTTTCACCGTCAGGATGCCAGCTACCTTCAGGATGACGTCTTTGGGAGAAGTCCAGCCGGACAGGGTTCCAGTCAGCCTCACACCTATCACCTGCAGGACAATGACAGAGACTTGAACAGACTGAGGAACCTCACAGAGGCGCCTTTGGGATCACAGCAGAGTAGAAGCCGTGTGATTTAATGAGATTTAAACACATTTACAAGATAACGGATGATTTCAGTGACTCACTTTGGGGCATTTGAGCTCCCATGGGATTCCAGCCATGACGTCTACAGCATCAGCTCCACCCACCCCAATGCAGATGGCACCCAGACCACCGCCGTTGGGCGTGTGGGAGTCGGTGCCGATCAGCATCACTCCAGGATAGGCATAATTCTCCAGGATGATCTGTCCAGAGGAAGGGACATTTGCAGTCAGTGACACCTGCAAGCTGTGAATAATGTTCGCTAGCAGGAAACTATAAAAGATCCACTGCAGACATGTTTTAATCGATATAAAAATACTCTAGTTCATAATAGTTTGTGTCTGACCTGGTTTTTCAACAATAAAACCAAATTACAAAGTTAGAGATTCTTACATCTACACTTTCTTTCACTTTGCAAAACCAGAATCTATAAATATGCAAATGTTTTTCATTTGGAAAAAGCCAAGTCATATTTCTAAGTGAAACAGGCAAAACACATCACTGTTATTGGATCGCCACTGACTGCATCATTATGAATGTGCTCACTGTACCTGATGGATGATCCCTGAGCCTGGCTTCCAGAAGCCAACCCCATATTTTGCTGCAGCAGTTGCAAGAAAGTTGTACACCTCCTGGTTCACTTCCTGTGTGAAGAGCAGACGAGGAGGGACAAAGTAAATCTATATTATCCCCACAGTGCAATTTGATTTGCAAGCAGTAGCTGACAGCCATCAGACATCCTTAAACACACGAAACTGGTGTAATGGCAAAAGAAAATAGTTATTTCTTGCTTAAAAAGCAAGAAGTAACAAAAGACCCTTAGTGCCCCGAGGCTGATCCTTTATCCCGATGGAAGTAACTTAAATTATGCTGAAGGATGCTGTGGGTTCTGTGAAGTCACCTCAGCCTTAATAGTGGTTCTAAATCATAAATCCCTCAGTGGTGATTTAACCGCTTAAAAATGAAGCCTGGCCATAGCTCTACACTCTCACCTCAGACTAATCAAGTACTCTGTGCTACACAACGGCAAGTTATACAAGAGTAATAGAGCCATACCTGCTACAGCCAGAAACAGATTTTAAATAATAATAATGTGGTATGGAAAGCCAGACCCTGGAGGCTGACTGGACTGGTTCCTTAGGTTTGTTATGGATGAAACCCCACAAGTCTGAATCTGTGTTTTTGAGACTGTCATTGAGAAAGAAGTGGACGTGCTTAGCAGTGGAGTAAACTGTTTATTTGGATCATGATGTGTCCTTTAGGATACAACTTGATTTTCACTGAAGTGAGTGTTTAAAAAAAATGGTCAAGATCTTATGACACAACTGGTCTGTTTTTGCCGAGGCTGCAAAACCAGCAGATAAAAGTCTAATTTAACGCAGATTCAGTCAGAGTGTGGTAAAATATGCTGGCAGAAGCTTCACACAAGTGACTTAAACGTGATTAGAAAAGACTAAACTTGACTGTAGCACTCAGTCCTAAGTTTTGTTATTCAAGCTGGGCCTGGAGGCGTGTGCTTAGCCAAATGGTTTGATCAGACCATCAGATTTTGAACCAAACCACAGCATCTACTGCGTCTACAGAAAACTGGCTGCCCGGGGAGCCACATAAACCCCGTCTGGCTGAGAGGTCAACGCTGTCTAAACAATGTGCTGGAATTAGCTTTGACAATAAAAAAACAACTAAATTATACTTGTGTTGTATTCACTGACAAACTGTCATAACAAACTGAGCCCAAAGACAAAATTTATAAAGCTGTAGTGTGTCTCCAGAACACACTAATGGGATGAAACACACTTAGCAGGCATATAGGTTCAGTGTTGTCATCTGTTGTTTGTTGTGTGTATGATCTGTGTGTGTCTAACTGTAAAAACGAGTCACAAAGACCAGTCACCTCCAGTCCAAAAAATATACACCTGGGTTTGTTTTTGATAAAATAATAATATTCCATTCGTTTCCCCTCTGTTTGCCTTCACCTTTGCCCTCTGCAGGTCCTCGGCCCCTCCGATCTGAGCCTCGATCAGATGATCACAGTGGATCGTGGAGGGAACCGCCACCTTGGGCAGACCGCTGCTGATGAACTGAAGCATCGCCATCTGAGCCGTGGCGTCCTGCATCGCCACGCGGTCGGGACGCAGGCGCAGATAAGTGCGGCCGCGATCGATCTCCTGCCCCGCTGGGTCGTCCAGGTGGCCGTACACGATCTTCTCCGACAGAGTGAGAGGCCTGTTGAGCCTGGAGGGGTGTTTGTTGGTGAAGTGGTAAGAAATGGTGCTGTGTGTTTCAACACTGCATATTCTTTAGCTGCAAGTTTTTCCTTGGTGCAGTTTTCATTTACTAAACAATACAAAACTGACACAAGATGGAAAAAATGCTTTGTGTCAACTAAACATCCGTTTGGCCTTTTAAGTTCCTACTCTCCTGCTTTGCCCAAAACATTTAACCTCTATTATCTGTACAAATATGTTTTGCAACTATACTTCTGTGCTTTGTGTCACACTGTTCCCTTGAACACCAGAAATAATGATGAATTATCACAACAGCAAACACTTGTTCCTTTCGTCATTTAACAGTCAGAAAATAAAGTCAGCTCAGTAGGAAGTCCTCCAAACTTAGCTCTTGGGCCCCACTGGCTCCAACAAGCCAACTCTGTAAATGTCAAAAGATTTACTGTGCAGCTGCAATAAACACCGGCCGCTCCTCTTGAGCCAAACTGGAATCAACAAGCATTCATGTTTATTTCTGAGAAGGAAAACTGCTGACCTCTTGCGTACAATGTTGATGTTCTCATGCATCTTCTCATAGTTGATGCTGGAACCAGGCTCAAAGCGGCTCATGGCCACTTTGGCCTTGGCGCTGAAGGCTGCAGAGACATGAAACCGTCTCGCCCCAGTTCCCAGGGCCACCTAGACCAGGAGAGAACACAGAGAATGTCCACTATAAACAAGCTTTAATTGTACCGTGACATGACCGAGGATGAAAGCAGGTGAGGCACAAAATGACATAAATGACATCTTCACATGTTGCACCAAACATCAGTCAGAAACTCAACGTTCTTCTCGCTATTAGAGCATTTTGTCACAACACTGCTTTATGTGTTCAAAGAACTTCAACTTGTTGATGTTTTTTGTCACTGGCTGTAAACTAGGCTCTCACAGGATGAACTTTAAATCTGCACATGACTGCTCCCTTGTTAAAGACCGCCGACGTCTTCAAAAAACAGCTTCCTTGTTTGTTTATTTGATATCCATACGTACTGTTGATGTTCAGTGGAAAATCACAGCACTCAAAGAAAACTGGGTGAAAGTTTATACAGCTCATATTGCTGGGATTAGCATCCCCCACCGGACGGTCTGACACACTGAGTGCACTGAATATTCCCCTCCACTGTTAACGATGCACTAATGGAGGCACACGGACTATAAAATCTGTATTGAAACTGTAGATCAGTGTGCGCTCCTGACATCTGCAAAAAAATTAGTTTGATTCAGTTTCTACGAAAGGCAAGTTTAAAGGAATGCACTTGGCACAAAAATGTTCCAGTGTGATGTTCAGGATATCATATCACCAGTTCATACATGTGTAGGTGAAGTAAACAACTAGTTTGTTGGTGTATTTAAGGCCATAAGCGTAAATAAATCACCAGCTGCTAACAAACTGCTTTCTTATAACACCAGGAAATGTTATAATATATAAAACATATATAAGCAAAGGAATGTCAGCCAAATATTGTGTTGAATTTTGGGGGAGTCAAAATTGTGACACCAAGACTTTCATCTTTACTACCAATCAGTTCCAAATGTAGGTTATTGGTTTGTTTGATTACTAATAATCCATAACGGCCATGAAAAAACATGTTAGTTGACACCTTGTGGCAAAACCAGGAACAGGTAAACAGGAGCAAGTTATCAGTGAAGAATCTTATATGGATAGTGTATACAATGAAATCCAAGAAGCGTTATATCCACAAAAAATTAAATAAATTTAGGGTTCCTATATGTTGCAGTGTAGCAGCAACAGTGTTTTATCAGTTTATAAAAACAGCGAGGGGACGAGACACAAGGAAGGTATGTTTTTAATAAAAATGATAAAAAGGCCAGGTTGCAAAAATTACAACCCCCTCAATACAAAATAGACATGAATACAAAAATAAATTCTGAGGGTAGTTAAGGATCAGCAGATGAATCTGTTGATCCATCACAGCCCTCCACAAGTGCCCTTGGGCAAGACACTGAATCCCAAGTTGCTCCCAAAGGCAGCTTGTTTGGCAGCTCTGCCTTCACTGGTGTGTGAATGAGAAAGACACTGAACTGTGCTTTGAGTTCCACTGAGGTAGAAACATACAGTTGAACCCAGAAGTTTACATCCACTGTATGAAAAGACATATAACCTTTAGTTCCTCACTGTCTGACATTAAATGTGACTAAACTTTTCCTGTTTCAGGTCAGTCAGTGTCACCGACATTATTTCTATTTGCTAAATGCCAGAATAATAAGAGAGAGAGATTTTTTTTATTATTTTCTTCAGAGTCAGAAGGCTACATACATTTCCTCAGTATCTGCTAGCGTTGCCTTTAAACTGTATGACTTGGGTCAAATGTTCTGGGTTTCCTTCCACAAGCTTCTCACAATAGTTCACTGGAATTCTGGCGCCTTGCTCCACACACCTGTTCAGCTCTGCCCACAAGTTTTCTCCAGGATGGAGATCAGGGCTTTGTGATGGCCACTCCACAACACTGACTCTGTTGTCCTGAAGCCTCTCTGTAGCTAATCTGGCGCTATGCTGAGGGTCATTGTCCATCTGAACACCCATTAGTGCCCAAGCTTTAACTTCCTGGCTGATGTCTGGAGATGTTGCTTCAGTATCTCCACATCATGTTCTTTCCTCATGATGCCATCTATTGTGTGAAGGTCACCAGTCCCTCCACAGCATGATGCTGCCACCCCCGTGCTCCACAGCTGGGATGGTGTTCTCAGGCTTCAAGCTTCCTCCTTTTTCCTCCAGATGTACCGATGGTCATTAAGGCCAAACAGTTCAGGTTTAGTTCCATCAGACCACAGGACATGTCTCCACTGATGAAGCTCTTTGTCCCTGTGTGCATCTACAAACTGTAATCTGTCTTTTCTATGTTTCTTCTGGAGTGATGTCTTCTTCCTCTCTGAGCAGCCTTCCAGCCCATGTCGGTACAGGACTGGTTCCACTGTGGATAATGACTCTCTGACCAGCTTCAGCAGCATCTTCACAAGGTCTTTAGCTTCTGTTCTGGGGTTGATATGCACATTTCAACCAGAACACTTCATCTCTGGGACACAGAACCCCTTCAGTGTATGTAAACTTCTGGTTTCAACTGCAAGTGCAGATCACTTCATATTTTAAATGTAAGCTTATTTATTTCACATTTTCTTGTCTTTCCATCTATTGTTGGTTTGATTATTTAAAACAAACAAAAACATCTTTAAGCTCAAATGTACTCATTTATACAAGCCGCTGTGTATAAAGTGGACAAAATAATACATCCCCCTTTGGTTTTCTGCATTGATTGGTCATAAAATGTGATCTGATCTCTGTATCAGTCACACAATACATAGTGCTGATGGAAGAAGAAAGTGAAACGTTAGATTTAATAGCTGTAGTACATTTATTCTGAACCTCAGACCCTCTTGGTGATGGCACAATCAACAATCCTCGACATCGTCTCTTTGTCGTTCACATCAGCAGATAAACTCTAAACGTGAGGCCATTTAAAGCCACAGCAGTTCTAACTACACCTCCAGTCTTGTGACTGTTAGAATGAAGCTGGAGGGTACAAAGGTTTATGGTAAGTTTTTAAAAAGACTGTTTGGGTTAGGGTTTAGGTTAGGGTCTGTAAATAATCACAACGTAGCTTAACAGCTGGTCTTGGAATGTTCTGATCCCAAGGTCAGGATTGGGGGGATCGCATTTTTGAAGTTCTCTGAGTTGGCACATACCCATGCCCAATAAGTTGTTTACATCTGTTTCTGTGCATATTGCCACACATCTGAGACACATAGAGTTAATGAGGTTATAGAAGCTGCTTGGTGAGTATTGTTCCAGTCTTCCTGAAGGCGCTTGGCAAAGTTGGCAGCCATTACGGAGGGCAGGACGACAATGTGGGACACGTCCAAAGATGTCTGAAACTATTTGTTAGACAACAAATGGTGGAGTTGTGGACATCCATATGCCTAGCTACAACCTTAACTGACATGCATCCAGCACACCAGCAGCCTGAGCTCGTCCGACTCTTGTCGTCTGTGTTATTTGATTAAAGCTATTCTCGTAGTTTAATTGCAGCAACTGGACCTGCTTGAGTTCCTTAAAGATGTTTCACCTCTCATCCAAGAGGCTTCATCAGTTCTGACAGACTAGTTGGGAGTTCCAGATACTGATATCCTGAAGGAGACATTAACACCTGAGGTTCAGAAATGGCTCCTTAAGGATATCAGTATCTCCCAACTAGTCAGTCAGAGCTGATGAAGCCTCTTCGATGAGAGGTGGAACGTCTTTAAGGACCTCAAGTAAGTCAAGTTTGTAGGAGCCATGAATAAGATGAAATATAAAGAGAATGACTTTATATTACTAAGAATATTTTGACATGATTGATATTAATGTTAAGTATTGTTTGGTATTATTATGGTTGGTTATTTGTATATTTCTGATTATTTGCTGGGTGCTGGTCACATGGTATCGGGTGGTGAAGTCTATTTAGGTACCTGCTCACCTGCGTGTGTGCAGTGGGTGAATGGGATGCCGTAGTTTTTGTTGACCGCAAGCTTGATCGTTGTGAGATTCATTCTGTTATATTTTGTGCACGTTATATTAAGCTGACCTTTATTCATTATTAAATCTTTGAAACGTATTTGGATCTCAGCGAATTTTTTGTACAGCGTGTCGGACAAAGAGCTAGGCCCACCTTCATCCGCTTTAGTTTGTTTTTTATGAAGTCGCTACATAGTTATTACGATTAAACTACGAGAACAACCATAAGCTGGATGACTGAGAGTCTTCGCAGACGTGTTGATTAAAGCTGCATTTCAAAGTGGACTTTTATAGTCACAAGTAGAGTAAATCAAGCTGTCTAATCATCGTCCTTTAAAGCCACGTGTGACTATTATGTGCATTTCATCAAAGGTTTAAAATACGTCACTAGTTGAACAGCACTTTTTGCGCACAAAAACTCACGCCTCACCATAGAAATGAGATTTTTAACTTTTCTCTCAGTCAGGAAAAAGGCCATTAGCATAGCATGCTACATTTATATTGGTTTCAGTGTGTATGTAAAATAATTAAAGCAATAATAAAACAAAGTGATGAAGCAACAAGAAAGGCACAACACAACTAAATGTGCTCATAATTTAAATTAATCACGGTTGTTGTTGTTGACGTGCTTATTAGACACAACCTACATGATGAAATTATACTTAAAAAAATTAAAAAATACAAAAAACTCGCCTATTATATTCATCTGCACAGAACTGTATAATTATTGTTATTTGAAACAAGTCCTATGCTATTTAAAAACGTAAAATTTAGAGTGTTATTTAAGGTGAGCCAGTGTCAGGAGGAGGTGCGTCAGTCAGAGCCGTCAGAGCCGAACTCTCAACAAGTGCGCAGCAAAACTCCGTCACCTTGTAATCACCTTGCAAACACCACATCTAGGCCCTCTGACCGGTACCACTCAATAAATGCTCCTGAACTCGATAACACATAGAAATATTGCATTTATTAACGTGTTTGTATCGGTGGCTGTCGGGTCGAGGGTGGTCTCGAACCGTTACGTTGTCAGGAGTCAAACGGGGACACGGTGACCCGACGGACGGGGCTTCCTGCGCACTCCGCTCCTCGTTTATCCGCCGCGGGTCGACAGCAAGCCGTGACACCGCACCGCACGCCTCGAAAAACTGCGGTTACACATGTACTCGACGACGGCAGGGACGTACGCGGCCCCGTAAAAGCAAAATAACGTTTTCTTACCCGCACTCTGGCGACAGTCAAACAGTAAGACGCCATTTTGTGTGTTGTTCACTGACAAGGATGAGCGTCGCCCTCGTGTGACGTCATCAGGTAAAACAGCCAAGAGCCCCAAACAGTCAAACCTCAAAAAGATTAAATATAATAATAAATACACATTTTTGTTGTCCTTGCTGTTGCTTATTGGTAAGACACAAAAAAATGAGAGCGTAACTTCTTTTTTAAACTCTCTCTTGACACTTTTTAAAATAGTTTTCACAAGACTTTACAAAACGAGATCCCAGTAACTTAAACTGATAACACCTATATTGTGGATGGCTGAGAGTGAAGTAAACTAGCAATATTTTGTTGAGTACTGTACATAAGTAGTTGACTTCTGTGCCAGTTTCAACTAATAGTCTACTAATGTGTGTTTCAGAGGAAAATATTGTCTCTATGATGTTTTTAGTTGATAATTATACTTTCTTTTGAATTTTGGATGTTGCATATTGTAGCTCTGAAGCCATCCTATAAAGCATACTATGGCTAAAATCAAATTTTTAACTTGTTCATACAATAAAAAAGACAGAAAAGCCCTGCAGAAGATAGTTGGAGGAGCTGAGAAGGTCATCTGAGTTTCCCTCCCCTCTGTCTAAGAGCATCTCCAGAGCCACTGCAGGAGCAGGACTCTGAACATCGCCAGGGACTCCTCACACCCTCTCCATGAAGTGTTTGACCTGCTGCCATCAGGCAAACGTTTCCAGAGCGTTAAAGGAAGAACCTCCAGACTGATCAACAGCTTCATTTCACCAGCTGTCAGAATGCTGAGCTGCTGATCCAGAGATGCAAACACTTGTTTATTTAAATTGCTCTAAGTTCTTGGATCCTGAAGAAATGCTCTCTCCTCCTGCCTGTACTACTGTGTATGTACAGCAACATGACAATAAACTGGATTTGATTTGATTTAAGCTTGAAGACACATCATGAGCGAACTAACCGGTCATAGCCATGGCTGAGTATTTCCACCTTGAGATGGATGAAAAGTGAAAAGTGTGGTGATGACGGTCTCAGGAACATGGATTGGACTTCTGAGGTTTCATGTGTAGCAAACCAAAGGAACCAATTATGTCTGATTGCAGGGAACTACTGCAATGTAACAACTTGCACTTCTGTAGCATAGCGTAGTTTTTAAGTGTTTAGGCAGAGTCCGACGTGAGCTGGTGTGCTGAGCTGCAGCGAACCGGGAGGGGTGAGTGAGGAGAGAGATCTGCACACTCAAAAGGAAGCAACAGTTTAACATTACAGCTGAGCCATTTGAAGGCAGGAAGGAATTATTTTTAGTTTTATGCTAAATAGGTAATTTTGATGCACAAAGATGAGTTTTTGTTGTTTTAATCGATCTGTGTTTAGTGTTTTAATCACTAAAGTATCCTTCGTCTTTTAAATCCCATCCTTCTTTCAACAAAAAAAAGATAATCAAAAAGCCTGCTACTAATTTTTGTAAACAATCTGTTTTATTAGTAATTAGTTCTATTGTTCGAGGGTTTGTTTGTTTTTTTCATTTGATTTCTATATTTTGTTAATTTTTTTCAATCTGTAATTTAACTACATTTTATTTTAAATGCATGTTAAGTGTATTACTTTTATCTGTATTTTATTTACCTGATTCTATCTGCCCCAGGCTTTCAATGTTTAAACTCTGGTTTAACTATGTCAAGAAATTTATAATTTTGTTTTAAAAGGTGCTGTTTAAAAACAGTTTATTATTCTAATTATTGTGTATGTAAAAGCCAGTTTGTCAAGTGGTGGAAGTTTCATTTTTATTCGGTGCTATATAAATAAAACTAAACTTGACTTTCACTCACGTTTTAATTTTGTCATTTGTGTTTGGTGCTATGTAAATGAAACTGAACTCAGTTTTCATTATTAATGCTTTTTCTGTTTTTCTGGTGCTATATAAATAAAACTGAGCTTAATTTCCACTGATGTTTTAATATTTTTTCTTTTTTGCGTTATTTAAATAAATTAGTTTTGGTAACATTCAAAATTTTTAATTTTTGATTTGAATTTTTTTTTCTTTTTTCTTTTTTTTTTTTTTTTACACAGACAGAACCAAATAGAGACATATATAATATACAGAGTCTTTACATAGTAGCCCTAAGATCACATTTGTACAATATTCTTGAAAGGAATTTAAAGAAAAAAATCTATCCCTATTTTTATTTTATTTTATTTTATTTTATTTTTAAAATCAATCAAAAAAGTCAAGAAAACACCGTGCGAATGCAAAACAAAATATGAATTAAAAAAAAAAAAAAAACTGAAAGCAACTACAACAGCACACTAATTATTCAATAAGCCTCATAACGTTCAAGGCTGAGGACTTCATTTCCCAGAAGCCTCTGCTAAAAGTCAGGCCGCTTTAGCTGCAGCTGACCAATAGCGTGCGGGCCCTCCCCCCTCTCAGCCAATAGAGACTCTGTTGCTATCACCGCTTATATTTTTAGTAAATTGCTCAGTACCGTAGGAAACTACAAATATCTGTCCGCCAGATCAACTAGAGCCTGGTAGGTAATTTTGATTTTCTGAGGGGTTAAAAAAAAGGTTAAAAATAAAATAAAATTAAAAAATTAAAAAACACTTTTATTTTCCGTAATATCAGGCGTAATTGCTTTTTTAGAAAGACTGTAGATGAGGGAAAAACAAAATGAGTGACATGTTTGTTTTTGTCGTGGGCTAACATTAAATAGACGTTGAAGTTGCAGGTGTAGCGTCAGTGGTTTGTTGGTAGAAGAGGGGATGTATTAACAGCGTCGTTTGTGGAGGAAAAAAAAAGATAATAACAAAGCGGCCATGATTATAATGTGAAGAAAGTAGTCCCTGCCGTCACGGGGGTGTGGGCGAGTCACGCTGTATAAATACGCCGGGTTGTCAAACAGTAAAGTTTCTCTGGAGCCTTCATCCAAAGTGTCAGCTGGAGACAAAGTGGGAGACTCTGTCTGAGAATTTGGGCAGCAAGGTAGACAAATATTCGCTGGTTTGAGGTCTGAAGCAGTGACTCGACACACCCGCCGTGAGACATCATAAAAGGGGATTTAAAAAAAAAAAAAAAAAAAAAGAAGCGCAGGAGTACAAGTGGAGCTGCGGCGTCAGGGACGAGAGGTGAGTAATCAGCTGTCAGCCGGTGCATCAAACGAGTACATTTTTATTTGAATATCACTGATATCGGGTTCACTGACAGCGATGCGCTCGCTGGCGTTTTTTTTTTTTTTTTTTTCCTCCCAGCAGCTTTCTGGCTCTCCATCCAAATGCGCTGACTGTAATGAATGGCCGTGCTGGGTGTCGAGCCGCTGAATAAAAACCACACAGCTTTCTGTTTTTGTCTTCCTATTCCAGTGTGTTAGCCGACGTGACCCTCTCCAAAGGCTTCATGTTGTGTTTCGGCGGGGGTGTTTGTGCTGAGGAGGCAGTCTTGGTCGCTCAGGTCGATGGGATGCTCGCCACTTAATTATCTTTTATAATTTAATTTGCATTTTTAGCAAAGAGGCTTTCTCCACTCGCATGTCAGCTAAAGCAGAGTCCTCTGTGCTCCACTGCCTCCTGACTGACATGGCACTAATAACCCAGCTCAGCCTTGTCATCATATAACCTGGACGGTATTATTTTTTCTTCTCCAGCCTCTTCTTGCAAATGCATTTTATTTTTGCAGAGAGAATGACACCAGCAAGTGCATCCAGGCAATCTGAAGTTGTATTGAGAGGAGAGAGGGAGACAGAAGGACAATAATATTCATGTTGTTGGTGCATAATCGTACTAATAGATGTCCTATGTGTGCTGTGGCTTGTGCTTTTGTGTGGGATCAGTGTGGCTTTCAGACCTGCCATGCAGCGGATGCTGAGCAGCACACTCCTCTCATAATGAGCCCATGTAAACAAAAATACCACCTCAGGTCCTGCTGATGCTCTGACCCGCAACAACAGTCCCGCAAGTACACAAACCAGCTCAGTCAAGTGTGCAAGTGAAGAACAGGAACAGCGTGAGGGGGATTTATGAACACTGAGGACTTTTAACGCTTTTGTTTAGTTGACGTTTAGGATTTGAAACCACGTCCTCCACCCCTGAAAGCACACTGCACCTGATCTGCTCCTCTAATGTCATTGAATGACATTGGATGTTGTGTATGTTGCTGTTTCCTTTTCATAATGAGAGCTACGACATGCAGCAGATGCAGTAGGTAGCTGTTTGTGCACTCGGGGTTCTCGGTGGTGACGGCCGTTGCAGGTGATGAACCGGTGCATCCTCTCCTACAGCCACTCATTTTTAATTAATCGGTGGGGAGGAATTTGCACCACAGATGATGCAAAACGGGGCCCTATTTATAGCCTCATTCTAACCAGCCCCCATCTTATCCTTCAATGTCACCCTCTTCATGTGAAAGGAAAATGTAAATGTCATCTTGAAGTGTCCTGAACCTGCATGCAGCCTGTGCGGCTTTATTTGTAATAACATTAGAATTGTCTTTAATCTGAGGCGTCTTTCTAATCTTAGCTTCCGAATCCCCATCTGGCAGGGAAGTGAATGTGAGGGAATTGTTTGTGTGTGTAGGAGGGAGGGGGAGAGGGGTGATGGTGCACTGCATGCTGGGAAACTGTGTTCTGTTGAATCAGCTAACTGTCCTGCCATTTTACACTCAGTAGGTCTTGTGTGTGTTGTGGGATTGTTGTTGTGTTTTTTTCCTCTCTTATTTTTTGCATGTGCTCCTTCATTCAGTTTAAACCTGCGATGAATGGACTCTGTGCGACTGCGATAAAGCATTAAGCGAGTAGCATTTCATGGGATCGGATTCAGATTATGCAGGATTTATGAAGCTCACAACGCAGCATCTGTTACGTCCATCAGTACATCCTGCAGTTGATTAAACCCGAAATAAAAAAGCATTTCAGAATCGCCGTTTCTGAAGAAGAGTCTCGTTTGTGTAGCTTGGCCTCGCTTCATATCCCTCACAGCAGGATGTTCAAAACTCGTTTACTGGGTTTATTCTATAGTTTAAAGAAGTATTCAGCTCCATAGACATTTATTTGTTATCTGAATAGTGGAAATATGAAGCAGTGACGCTCCTGCTGGTCTCTGGTAGCTGAGGATGTGTGTTTACTTGCTTTCATTAGAGAGATGACTCAATTAATGGCTGGAGTGTGTAGCTGGTTCATTTATTAAACTGTTCCAGCAGGATTTTGCTTTTTTTGGTTTATTGTGAAGTGATCTGCAAAGAAAAGTCGATCACTTGTCAAATACATTAATCACCGACTATTTTGATGATCGGTTTGAGAAAATAAAGGTCAAACTTGTCTGATCACAGCTTTTAGACGAGGACGTTTTCTGGTTTCTTTCCTCCTCTGTGACAGTAAACTAAATATGTTTGGGTTGCTGGTAAAACAAGATGTTTGATGCCTTCTAGAGCTTTGGGAAACACTGAAAACTGAAATAAAATGAGAATAATTGTTTGTTGCAGCCTTAATTGTAAACAAACATAATGGCAGCCTTTCTTTAGTTCGGTGTTTCAGTTCTGATTGTTCAAAGAACTCACAGACAACAAAGATCTTCAACAGCTTCAGTATCATGAGATGAAAACAAAAATGTTCTTCGATGCACTAATGACTCGATACCTGCAGAAGCCCGTGTCGTGGCCCACTGCAGCCCCCATGCACCGGCAGCTTTCTGACTCCACTAAATATCAGTGTGATTGACTGTCAACAGCTCCATGACAGGAGAGCAACAACTCATTCCTCATGTTCATGCCAAGTGAAGTCTGTTTTCTTTTGTCTTCACAGTTTGGACCTTAGAACACGATAACGACAGCCTGCAACCTGCTGCCTCCTCCTTCAAGGTGCCTTTACCATGGTGACACTAAAACAATCATACACTTTACAATAAAACAGAGGAAACAACGTATTGCAGCGGCATTGCCTCATTGTCGGCACCATCGTCTTGAACGCTTTGTTCCCACAACGGCGCTAAACTGGTGCAGCCATGCATCTGGAAGTGAAGGTCGCCCTCAACTTCATCGTGTCCTACCTGTACAACAAGCTGCCTCGGCGCCGAGCTGACCTGTTCGGTGAGGAGCTGGAGAGGATACTGGTGTCTCGCTTTGAGGGCCACTGGTATCCTGAAGCCCCGCTCAGGGGCTCTGCCTTCCGCTGTATTCACCTGGGAGCGCCCAGGGACCCTGTGGTGGAGCTGGCCGCCAAAAGAAGTGGACTGGACACGGAGGAGGTGCGTGCAAATGTTCCCGCAGAGCTGAGCGTGTGGATCGACCCGTACGAGGTGTCCTACCAGATTGGAGAGAAGGGGGCGGTGAAGGTGCTCTACCTGGAGGACCCCCCCGGCCTCGGCTGTGACAGCGAGAGAGCTGAGGGGGTGATCAGAGAGGCTAAAGGAGATCCAGAGGCGGAGGAGGCCAAGAGCCTGGGCTTCAACCCAGACGCTCAAGTGTTTGTACCGATTGGAAGTCAGGCGTCTCCCGCCCTCATGCCATCGCTGTCCAGCTCTCCCACACCTCTGTCTGCCCCGTCCTGCCCCGGCCTCTTCAGCTACCCCAGCTCCAGCACACCCACCGACCCTGGTGTCCACTCTTCCAACACCTCCACCCCTTCTCCTCCCAGCGGCGGCCTGCCCTACCTCTCCACCCAGCAGCCGCCGTCCACTCTCCCTACGGCCCGTCCGCAGCCCATCACCTTCACCACTGCCAGCTTCGCCGCAACTAAATTCGGCTCCACCAAAATGAAGAAGTGCAGCGGCGCTGGGTCAGCGGCTAGCTCCGGCGTCATCGTACCACCGTCCCAGAGGATGCTGTCCCGCTCTCCCACCACCATCTCGGCACCAGAGCTGCTCAAGCACAAGCCCCTCTCTCTTTCCTTGCACTCTCTCGGAGGACCCATCCCCAGCCAGCTCTCCCCCAACGCCAAAGAGTTTGTCTACCCAGGATCCCCCGGCCCCCTTTACTTCGATGCCGACACCCAGCCCATGCAGCCTCACGCCAGCCCCTTCCAGCCCCCGCACACGGTCAACACCCATCCGTCCTTCGATCCGTTCTCCAGCTCTCCTGCTCAGAGCGTTGGCATCATTGGCAGCAACGGAGGAATCTCGTACATGGAGAAGCCGCCGTTCGTTGAGGGTTTAGGAAGCTACAACCTGCAATACCCTAGTCAGTCCTTCCAGCCTGTGGTGCTGGCCAACTAAGCCTTCCTTTGTAACGATAGGGGTTGTTGAGGAGGAGCTGGGCGTTGGACAGTGATGATATTTTCAGTTTTTCTAACAAATTGTTCTAATACTAATACATGTTAAGACTTAGTTTTACTACAAAGATTTAAAGACACCACGTCCACTGAACATTTCATGTGACTTGTTTTGGATCTGTGACCCCCGCCCCCACCCTGCCGCTGTCCATTGCTGTTACTCGTCACGTTCGGTGTGTCGGCTTTGACAGGAGTGGGCGGGGGTGAGTTGCTTTCTACCTTTAGCTGTTGCCAATCTCTTCTGTTTATTTTTTATTTTTTTGCATTGAATGTTAATGTAAGAGGATTTTTCTTTTCTTTCTTGACTCGTAGTCTAATGGACTCGGCTCCAGTATAGCTCCAATTTGCACTGCACTGTCATGCTGTGAAAAAGGACTTCGCCAAGTCCTGCAGGGAATGACGGCTGTGGAAAACTCAGCACTTTGCTCTGCAATCTGCTCTGCCCTACTTGCCACAAATACAGAGAGGGGGGCTCTGCTGTGTGCTTCTGTTCTGTTTTGTTGTGGCTCAGCGTGATCGGGAGGCTCATTGTTTGTGCGGCAGGCCCGTTACCTTTGAAATACACTCGTGCACAGACATAATTGGGCTCTGCTGTTGTGAGCGGATGTATATTGGAAGCAGGTTATCGTCAGCTGGAACGTGCACATGCCCGGGGTTTAAATGAAGTGGGAGCAGTGGAGGGAGCAGAGAGGGAGCGATGTAGGAGAATGTATTGTACCTGTCGAGGGAAGCTGCAGCGGTGAAGGTCGGGGAGGGAAACCTTTTTGAATGTGACAGAAAGTAGATTTTAAGACAATAAGTGCGTGCGGATACCTCAGCTGTTGTACATGCAGCGACGGACGCTATGGTCTCACACATGAGTTCAAACGAACACCGTACGCATTGAAATGTGCACATGCACGCAACTGCACTTAGCGGCGTGTGAAGGTGAACAGGCGGAGGAGGAGGTGAGGGGGAGGGGATGCAGCAGCTAAGCAGTAGGGATTGTGATAAATGGCTTAGCATGACTTTGACTATGAAGGACAGGTTTTCCTCAGCGTGGAGAGGAGGGAGGGGAATGGGAAGACAGAAGGAAACGAGGGAGAGGGTTGTGTTGCCTCGGTGCCGTCCAGGCTGTACTGGCTTAGAAAGTGACACTTTAAAACCCAGAGCACGTTTCTGGTGAGCTTAAATGGTATTGAAGCCAAAGGCTCACACTATTCTCTCCCTCCTCTTGAAATTCTCCCGTGATCTCTGCTGGCTGCTCCAAACAAAAACCTGAATCATACAGTTCAGGTCGCTCCGTGTCTTTTCCCAACCACAAGGAAACAAAGAGGAATGTTAATTACAGTACGTGTGGCTTCTGTGGCTTCACTGGGTAGATTGTCAGATGGCTGATGTTACGAACGGTGTTTGTTTAACGGCTGGACTTGGTGCTGGTCCCTACATTAAAGGGTAACCTGTCCGTGTCCAGCCCCTCATCACTGGGCCACTGCAGACACTAAACAACCCCTCTGCCCTCTTCTTTGGCTCCTGCACCTTTTTATTCAGCTGTCATTTAACGCTTTCAAAGAGGAGCTCGATCTGCATTTCACGACGGTGACGAGACGCCGTCAGTCTTATTCTTACCCATTTGTATGAATGTTTTCCAAGCTTGTACCTATAGATGGTTTTTGCATAAGATGGCTCAAGAAACCTCGACTGCTGGTTTTGCATCGTGACAGGTTGTCATATGCATGCAACTTTTAGTTCTTCATCCTTTTGTTGTTTTGTTTTGTTCCCCAGGGGGACGGGTGGGGAGGTGTGTATTTCTGTAAATGTTCCAGTTGTGAGGGAAAGATTTTTTTGTTTTGTAATTTATTTCTATATTTTTGTTCTTGCAAATTATCACTCACGTTTGTATGAGTACGACATGGCGAGTCCAGGAATATGTATATAAAAAAAAGTTCATATGTTCAGATTCTTTGTTTAGTTTCTTACATGCTGAAGTTATTTTTTCAGAAAATAACATTGAATATATGCAAACCGAGACAAAAATAAAGATGTACAGAATAAAGTATTGAATGTGTATTGTACCTTGTACAGAATTTGTCTAATAAGACGGGTAAATGTATTCATGCTTCAATTTGGATTTGGAGTTTAAGAAGTGAATGTTTACAGTGGGTTTGTGTAGGAAAAGATGACTGATATCACTTTTTCTGTGCTCCCAGGGCAGTCTGACAACACTACTCCCATAGGCAGTACATTTAAACCAAAAATCTCTATATTTAAGATTGATTTTGTCCCTTTTTTATATGAATTCACTGCATTTCACCATCTCATGTTTGACTCACACACACACTCCTGTTTTGATGTCCGTATGCCACTTCAGTCCCCAGATCTACTCAGATATATGTGTTTAACGCTCCTTATAGTATATTTACCATCACGATTCACCCGTTTCTGTTTTTGCCCATTATTTCGACGTGTCATCCTCGCTCCATCGGTCCGGTCCTTTTGGTACTGATACTATAGCCATATCCCAGACTGTCTTTGCTTACACAGATGCTCACCCTCCTCCAGTGCAATGTAATGCCATAATTTCAATTACCCTGAAGGATTCAAGGGGTTTCTACCTCTCTGCACCCTAAACAAAAAAAAAACTAAAAAAAAAAAAAAACGACTCCAGTGTATCTCTTCACTAGGAAGACGGTGTCACGACAGGTTTGAAGGAAATGAATGTGCTGTGAATGTTTGTTAGTCGACCCTGGTGTAGATGGCCTGCTGAGAAGAAAAAAATAAAAGCGTCAGAGGGATTGTTTTAGTCACATGCATGTCCCAAAAGACTTGTTTTTTTTTTTTCTGTCACATCAGTGCAAACGAGGTGTATTGTTCCATTGAGGTCTACGGATGTGAGTGATGACTGTAAAAGCCGGTTCGCCCTCACGTCTCTGTTAGAACCAACGCTGTTTTATGTTCCACGTTTGGACAGAACTGGCGTTTTAAACCAACCTACTCTGAACACACAGGCTACTCTACAATCAGGGTTGAACATTAATGAAGAGGAAAAACAAGAATTTTGTATTCTGATGTCCTTTGCTTATATCGATGTGTGCATTTTACTTTGCACTTTGGAATATTTCATTGTCATAAAAGAAGTTTATTTTCTATGTAAAGTTTAACATTTAAGAGTACAATAGATATAATTAAAAGTTCAGATGATGTAAAGATATAGTGCTTTCTTTCCTGCCTGTATTTTATTATTTTTCCTATTTTGTATCTGATCTGTACACCCTGTAGATGTATAATGAATCTTTCACTACTGAAATGCAATGACCTGTTTTCTGTGCGGCCCCTCGGGAATGGGGGGAGTTACTACTGCAGTTTCTTATTGTATCAGATTCTTTTTTAAGTTTGTAATAAAAAAAAACAAGATTGGCAAAAACAAGCATGGAAAATAAGCTAATTGTGTCGTCCTCATTGCTTGCGAGTGTGCGGAGAGCCGTGAAAAAGGGTGTGTGTGTGTGTGTGTGTGTGAATCCTCGGCTCGGTCCCGGATAAACCCAGTCCACCTCTCGGCTGCGTTCAACATCTTGCACATCAAAAGCATGTAAAGAAGCTGCGTTCAGAAGCCTCGGATTGAACAGTGGAGCGTCCTCTTATTGCAGTAAACAAATTCAAGTGATGTTTGATCAATAATTCAAGATGGAATTCTCAAATGGTGAAGAGCCAGATTGCTCACCACCCACCTCAAGCTGGACCCATCCCAGCAGATATTACTTCACATTTCATCATCTCGCGCTCTGTCTGTCTGTCTGTCCCGTGGCAGCGTCTCCGTACAGCCAGCTGCGAGGCGAACACCCTGCGTTACAGCAACATGTAGTGGTGTGACATTAACATGCATGGCTGGCCTCCTCTCTGGCTCTCCTCCACTCACCTCCATATCGAGCTGCAGCCCATCATCCTCCCTCCCTCCCTCCTTCAGCTCATATGTCCTTCCCTGCATCTCCATCTTTCTCTGTCCATCCCTTAGCCATCTTGGTTCCCTCCCTTCCTCCTTCCCTCCCATCCTTACAACTGCCTGATCCTTTTCCTCTCCCCCCCTCCCCTTCCTTCTCCTCTCAATTCCCAGAGCTCATCCTTTGCTTCCTCGCTTTCTTTGCTCCATCCTCCACACACCCATCCCGCTGGTCTTTGAGGCTGCTGCTGCTGCTGCTGCTGTTACGCAACGCAGCTCCCTTGTGTGTCGATGTGATCATTACGCAACATCTCCTACTCCTGTGGAATACTGATGAGCAGCAGGACCGAGGCGGCGAAGGGACAGCGAAAATAAAAACACAATCGCATATCATTTCATCACGGAGGAGGTTAAGGAAGACGTCGGCTTTGTTCCCCAAACTGTGCTGCCATTGTTCCCCATTGTTTCTTTGTCTCTCATCCCTCCCGTTAGAGATGCTGCAGCTGGTCGATGACTCAGGCAAGGTCGAACCAAGAGCCCACATGTCATTAAATTCCAATTTATTTCATATGCATGATACAAGATACAGTTAGGACATGGTACTGCGGTTGCATGTATCCGATACATGGTTAGGACGATACAAAAAAACACCTAACAAAAACCATCTGTATATAAAAAGAGAACAGAAAGCAAAACACCACAAAAAAACAACAAAACTTTAAAAATGTTTTTTCAATAGGTTTTTTTTTTTTTTCCTTTTTCCTCCAGGAGTATTGAAGCTACTTCAAATAGTAAACAAGGACATAGTGTCATTGATGCGAAGTACCTGAAGCCAGTGCCAACGGTTAAGACCAGAAAACAGCAGCTTACACCTTCAGGTGTAGACGTGCTACTTGGCGCCATCTACAGATAAAGAAAACAATAACGCTTTGTTTTTAAATTGCGCCACCTGCAGGTAGAAGGTTACGACTGCTGCTTGTCCACACCTATTAGTTATTTACTGATCAAACATCTCATCCTGGACAGGTCAGTTAAATTTACAGAGGAAATGCCAGACTCATCTTGATTTATCGAAACAATCGTGTTCAATTATTTTTTAGGGTTCGTGTGGCCAGAACAGTGCAGCAGCCATCTTTATAAGTGTAAAGACAGACACGCCTACATTCCCTCTAAACCACTGCTGATGTCCTTTCAGATTGCAGGTTGCCTTGTGCAGAACCTGCAACCTGTTCGATGTTAGTCTGTGAATTACGAGCCAGTTCTATACGGCGCTTCGCATCAGAAAAAGAGAGACTGCTACATACCATATGCGGTACTGTCTTGATTTATTGTCTTTTTTTTTTTTAAAGGCTCTCTTCGCCGGTACCTTCAGTTAGCCTTAAGCAGAATATTTTTTTTTGATTTAGTTAAAAAAATAAAATAAAATTGCATTCGTTAACTACACTGGTGTCTAACAGCGTAATGCAATCAAGTCTGAATGTCGATGCAAAAACAAAACAGGAGGCTAAGAAATGTCTGTTGAACTACACCATCAGGAAACTCAAACACAGAATCAAGAAAACACAGAAGCACCAGCTGATCCAGTGTATCTAGCTATAGATCATTCTTTAGTAAATAGAAAACAATCCACACAGTGATCAAAAGATGCTGTTTTCAGCTGACGTTCGTCACAAGGTCGAGCACTGACTGCACAAGGATAGGTGGTGCTGTTAGGCCAGCGACAAGCGCAGAACAAAGACGCTCTGCTTCTCCTGTTTGACAGAACCGTACGATACGCCATCAGCCTCCCCATCCAGAAACAGATCCAGTTTTCAGTGATGGTTTACAGACATAAGTACACTTGGTGTAAAATTTACGAGAAAAAAAGACAAAAAAAAAAAAGACAGGTTTACAGGGTTTCATGCATTAGGATCCTAGACTACACAGGATCGAAACTGGAAGCACAAATGACTTTGGGGCATTTCTATTTAGTACATCATAGCAATTTTACATACAACAACATTACTGAAATTAAACAAGCATTACATAACAGAGTATTATTGCCACATTTATTTTCTTTCCTAGATCACCGTGATTACGAGCACGAGCCGGCCGATCACTAAAATCTGCATCCGAGAAAGACACTTGAGATATAGAGTCCCATAACAGTCTGTAATGTATTTACTAATGTCGATACAGACTCAGCCACCTTGGCAAAAAGAACTCAATTTGTCAACTTGGATTTTGCCAAATGGAACCAAGCTGCTGTTAATGTGCTCTCTGCTGTGACCAACACGACGCTGAAGCCCTACGAAACCTTTTACCATTCAAAATAGGAAGTGTTGGATGAGGTAAATAAGAGGGCGCCCTGTCCTCTGTGTGTTCAGACACATATGTATCTATATAGAGAAAAAAATCCCATAGAACGATATAAATCTGTTTTAAAAACAAACATCCAAAAGCACAGTTTACCCATTGAAGTCCCTGCTTAGTCATTGGCATCATTATATACGTGTTGTTCCTCAACAGAAATAGAATCTTATGACATATTGTTGTACATCACAATCAACAGATGCATTATTACCATCAGAATAAATACAGCACTCATTGACTATTTGGCAAATATAAGGAATAGTGTTGGGTTAATAAAGACACAGTCAGAGTCCCTGTCTTAGGAAATAAAGAACATGAGACAATCATTTATTTACAAGGTTTAGAAGCAGTCAACTTCGGGCCTGGCTAAATCTTTTTCAAAAAAAGAAAATCCATCCAGTCGTCAGGACACCGTTAGCAGGCCGGCAGTGACTGAAGCGCCCTCTACTTGCAGTGTGCAGTAAAATAAACCTCCCTACATATGAACGTACCCCTCCACCGGTGAGGGCCCTGCAGATCGTCACACTTATGCCTTCGACAGATAAAAGCTGCTACTCCTTCTCCATTTATAAAATCATACAAATCTTGTGTGAGGCTCTGGAAGCTGATCTGAGATTAGTAGAAAAGGAAACTAAATCACAGCTGCTTTACACTGTAGGTCATGCTAGTTTCTTCTCTAGTAAGCTACTGCGTGTCCCACCGTGGTTCTGGTCAATACGGTAGACAGCTACCACCAGTAGAACCTCTACACACTGTGTGTGTTCTGGTTTGTTTTTTTGTTTTTTTTAAGAAAAAGTGCAAAAATGGATTACACACAATAAAAACACACAGAACTAAATGGTACAAGGAGATGACTATATATACACAGACAGTTGTTATAAACAGCGTTTTGTGTGCGCAGAGGCGTGCATGTGGGTTACAAGAAGGAAGAACTGTGACTGAACCGAACCGCACCACTGACGGACTCTCCTCCTCGCCTCCTGTGCCGACCTGAGGTCTAACTCTCCCTTCAGACTGGAAGTCAGTCTGCCTCCTGCTCCTCTGCTCCTGTGTCTATGTGTTCCTCTCCTACGCTGCCGTGAGCTGATCTAAACGTCTCACCGCGAACATCCTTCTTCTGAGACTCAACCACACTTTAAGGTTAAGTGCAACACAAGGAAAAGTGAGGGACGGCGAGTGTGCACCGCTCTAAATACACAACTTCTGACTGACGCTACTCATGCTTTGGTCCACGGAGTGTTGTGCAGTGATAAAAACTGATGTGTGTAGTATTCGATAGCCTGTGATTCTTTTGTACCAGCCTGCTCTTTCCATGACTTTCCTGAACCTCCCTTGAGATAGGCCACGTTTGATCGCGGCAGCATCCGCAACAGTCCACTTCCTCTCAGAGTGTAGGAGCCAGGCGCTCTCCACAGGCCTTCCTGTGACCACCGCTCCCGTCACGTCTCACTGCCTGCCAGTGTGCATCCGAAACTCCAGCATCATGTTAGAAACTACGACTGGAGCCCGACGCAGTGACTGGAGGTCAGCGGCGACAACAGTGCAAATTTAGATTCCCTTGGTGTTTGTGTCTGTGTTGAATTCTGTGGGGAAGGGAGTTCTGCTTTTGTCTCATTGATACTTCTTGGATTTAAATCGTAGTTCTTTTGTGTTTTGTCGTTGTTGTGTTTTTTACAGTGGGCCATACTTAGCCTCGTAGCGGGCCAGGACGTTCTTGCAGCGGCCGCAGTCCTTCCGCAGCTCGGCCACTTGCTGCCTCAGCGCGGCGTTTTCCCGCTCCAGGAAGGAGGCGCGCACCGTGATCTGGTTCTCCTTCAGCCGCCGGGCGTCGCGCGAGCGCTTTGCCGCCAGGTTGTTCTTCTTTCTCCTGGACCAGTACTTCTCATCCTGAGGGAACGAGAGCGGAAGTTGAGAAAGACAGAAAGGGAGAGGCCGAGTCGACCAGCACATACGAGGGATTTGAAACAAGTGAACATCTGTGTTGTGAAGACCTCCCCTCCCCACTGCGGAGCGCTAATCCACAGGCCGGCGCTCTGCAAATGCTTTAATCTAACCAGGAACGCTGAATCAAAACACAGTACAGGTCAGAGTTTTAGTGAAATCTACTCTCTCATGTTTACTGTGTTAACATCTTTATTTACTGTATTTAATTCAGCTTCACACAGGACCAGGTTTATTAAAATCATCCTAAATCTAACTCACAGTTTAGCTGCTAATGCTAACAGCTATGCCAGGTTTTTATGACCGATATTTAGGAACATCTACGAATAATCTAAATTGTTCTCCAGCTGTTGATGAGACCCCGAAATCTCCTCTGTGTGTGCGTTACAGATTTAGAAGTTCTTCTGCCTTAAATTGCTTTAGCAGATGTATGAAGTCAGTCTCTCCCCACTCGCTGCAGCTCAGCACACCAGCTCGCCTACGACTCTGCTCAAACACCATAAAGCTACTCTACTCTGTAATACTGGAGCAATTCAGCTGTACGTGCTCCAACTGAAGACGGATGTTGATACAGGAAGGTGATGTTATATATGAAACCTCATGTTTGCTTTTGAGACAATGGATGTGTTTCCCTTATCATGTGTCTTCTGGCATTTAAAAACTGAATAGAAATGCTGACAAGGTTCCCCGAGGGAGATCAATACAGTCATGAATGCATTCACTGTCAATTGCTGACAGCTTTGGGACGAACAAATCACGTTTTTGTGAAAACCCGCCTACCTTCTGCTCGTCGGGGACGAACACCTTCTTGGCCTTCTTGATCATCGGCTGCGGCTTCAGCTCCTCGTCGGAGAACTTGTGCTTGCGAGGGTTGAACAGCTCTCCGCCCGGCACACTGGACAGGACCAGGTCGGTGGGGTCCGGCTGGAAGTTGATGTCCACCTCGATGGCTTCTGGGTCGATGGGGGAAGGCGTGTTACGCTCGGCGGCGTTGCGATCTGCGGGGTTTGGAGGAGGAAACGTAAGCTGGAGTGCAAGAGAGGCCACTGCTGTGAAACCTGAGGAACCTCCTCTGCTGTATGGAAATCGACAGCTTTGCTTACATTAGCATAGGAGCACAGAGGAGACGATGCTAGATGTGAAATTAGCTTTTCTTTTCCAACACAGTGCTCACTGGTTCCTGTTTATGCACCTAAAACAGTGTTAGTTGAGCTGATTGGTGCAGTAAATACCAAACACTTGTTGGTTTAGGACAAATGTATTCCAAATCTATTCAAAGATCGTGTTGTAAATCTACAATGTTTGATGTTCTGCTGAGACTTTATTATAAACCCTCCTGTAGCCTGTAGTAGTTTTATTGTGTTATACGTACATTATTCCTCTCCTCAGACGGAGCCCTACCACAACGAGAACAAGCCTCAGGTGCACACACTACTGCTGAAAGTCACTACAGTCCTTCTCTGGGATTTGGAGGGTTGCTTTTTCTACTGAAGTTTGCAAAGTTGATATTCGCATTGAGTTTTCATTGTTGTTTGAAGCTCGACTGTGTTTGAGGCAACAGGTTCTGTGATTCCTCTCAACTGTGTCTGCTCTTTAGCTCTGGAGATGTGCAGCAGACAGATAGAAGCTGCAGCACGGGCCCAAAGGTCAGCGCTTTGTCTGCATGTTTGTACATACGTTGGTAGTTAATGTTACGCCAGTGCCTGTATCGGTAGAGGATTTAAAATAAAACTACAGGCAGCAGAGCAACCAAATGTCACAGTCTGCAAAATTCAAAATAATATAAAAATATAAATCCAAACTGTAGATTCCTCACCTGTTTTCTTTACTTCCACTTCTGCCTCCTCAGCCACAGATTCCTCTTCCTGTCCTTCCTCTTCCTCATTGTCTTCTTCTTCCTCGTCTTCCTCCTCCTCCTCCTCCTCCTCCTCTTCTTCTAGCTTGGCTGGTTGTAATGTGGTGACTGTCACGGTCTCCTCTGGATCTGAGGCGGCCGTGCAGGCGGAGGGGGAAGATGCCGTGGCGGAGACGGCGGCTGCCTCGGCGGCATCTGGAGCATCTGGAGCAGGAGTAGTGGTGGTGGTAGTAGCAGTGGCTGCAGCGATAACCTTGGGAACGGCTTTGCCTTTGCCTTCCACTGAGGTCAGAGTCTTCTGCAGCTCCTCCTCCTCCAGGCTCACAGGGATCCCGTTCTCGAGGAGGAACTCATCCAGGTCCATGTACTCCAAGTGGAAGGTCTCCCCATCGTAGGGAATGGTCTTGTCCCAAATGGCCGGGGTCAGGGAGGCTGACACACCTCCGCTACCGCCGCTGCCGCCACCGCCGCCTCCTCTGGAAGCTCCTCCAGCACTGGCTGCCACAGCCCCACCTCCTTCCACATCATCAGAGGAGCACAGCTTCTCCTTCTCTATTTCTGCACAAAAGACAGGAGGAAACAGTGGTTCAGTACGCGGCTTCCTGCACCTGAGCTGCACACAGACGCAGGGAAAGTAAAGTGTGGATGTGTGAAGGAGCTGGGAGGAGGAGGACGGTGGTGCTGGGACATCTGACAACACGAGTGTGTAAACAAAGGCAGCAAAGAGTGTGATGGAGAGACAGAAGGAGGCTGAAGTCTGAAAGTGGAGGAGAGTCCACACATGCAACCCACTACACAAAGCAGCACCGACTCAGAACCACAAAAACACCCAAACACGTGCAGTGAGACACCAAGTCTCTGAAGAGAAGATCAGGAAGGAGGAAACGGGACTTTTTGTTCTGTTTCCTCCAGGCTCGTATAAAGCTGCCTCACACATGAGCCACAGGATGAGCTCCTGATTAACCACCAGATGTAACCCAGTTCACTTCATGACACTTGGACGGAACACATCTATCTCGAGCCCTACATCAGCCAACTAAGTCGCGCGCTGCTGTTTGCAGACCGCTGCTTACCGTCGTCGCCCTCCTCCAGGATGTTGGGAGGAGGGATGTCCATGATCTTCTTTAAGACGAAGGGGAAAGACTTCTGCGGAGCCGCCGGAGCGACGTCGCCGCTGGCCTGAGCCGCCGCTGCCACCGCGGCTTTGCCAGGCATTGTTTCGCTGCCGAGCTCCGAGCGGACCGAGGCGCTGCGGGAACCGAGAGCTCGAGTCCGAGACGGGAGACCAGAAAAGAGAGAGAACCGCGACTCTCGGGTGCTTTCGGGCCTGTTTGTCAACAGTAGTAACGCTCCTTTCTCTTGTTTTTGAGGGAGGAAGCACAAACAAACGCGAGCGACACAAACCCCTTGTTCTCCGTGCGTGTACCGAGCGCGCTCATTGGATATTCAGGAGTCTCGTGCCGCGCCCACTCGCGGAATAGTAGGCTGTGATTGGCTGAGAGCGAGCCGCACATGAATATGTACCTCAGCTGTTCCCCACACATGTTCGTGTGTTCATGCGTGGAGCTGCAGGAGGACACGCGTCCGGAGCGACCCGAGCGTCCTGCGCGTTCACAGGTGTAATTCACATGTACGTTTGTTTATTATTATTATTATTATTATTATTTGGAAGGTGTCACGAGGCGGCAGGAAGTGATGGAAGCGTCCCACATTCTGCATCCAGAGTCTGAACTGCGTGTCTCACACCCACGGAGGCTCACACGACACACCCACTCCCACAAAAAAACACAGGCTCGTGCTTTGACTTTGTGTCGATGGCAAGAGCGAGACACTCGTGGCCAAACACGTGCCCCCCTCCTCCCACCCCCGCCGCACTCACGTGAAAGAGCAATCTGTCGAAGGGGCGTGGCTTCACGTACCCAGCACGTGCGAGCGAAGCCAAGGAGAGCCGTGAGCGGGCACGCGCCTCCTAAAACAAGAACCGTGGCACGAAATAAAAACACGCAGTCGGAGTGTTTTGGTACCGCCGTATACGTGTCGGGCTGCGAGTCCACGGCGGGGTTCGGAGCTGCCTTTCCGTCGAACGTATGAATATTCAGCACTAACCGCAATCACAAGGGCTGAGCTCACGTTCCCGTGCACGCGCCACGCTCTTTCACGCTGGCTCGCTCGCTCGCGCGCGCCAAGCAGGATGTTTGGGTTCCGGAACACGATGTTCAGCTGCAGAACAACAGCCCACATTCATCCAGCGATCTGAGGGAGTTCAGCCCAACACAGGGCGCTGGTCCCATTTCAACCAGAGGTGCTGCAGACAGACGCGTCCAGGTGTCACATGCACACCAGCATGTACACAACACCAGACTGTTTATTGTATCCAACATGACATAATGGATGATTAAAACCCCGGAGTGCCATGTTAACCACAGCACCACACCTGTACCTCTGCAAACCCGTCGCGCTACATTCCGCAGCGGCTCCTGAGCAACAATCAGAAAAGCTTTGGGCTGAAGTCTGTTGTGCCTACAGAGGGAATCAGGCAAACATCTGCCCGCCATGTCTCACAACAACACGTCTCAGTGCCCTCTGCTGTACGGTCTGCTGATGAAGACATGAGAGGGTCTGTCTGAGCAGAACAACAAGTCCAAGCAGCGCTATGTTACAGTCCCATTCACAGTGGAGGTGACTTTGTTGTTTACAAAAGTTCTCGCAAACACACCACAGCACAAGAGGATCTCCATATGGTCCTCGTGAGCTCCTGTCCTGCAGGTTTTAGACTTTACTGCAACACACCTGACGACAGATCATTAACAGACTTGTGTAGAACCTGACAACAAGCTGCTGGAGATCCGTTAGTTTGAGTCAGGTGTGTTGCAGAAACATCAAAAACCTGCAGGACAGTAGCTCAAGAGGACCGGAGCTGAAGATCCCTGGTATATAATGTTAATGTGTTTGAGTAATAACTCCAGGGTATAAAACTTTACTCCAAGTTACACACTGCAAGACATAATTACAGGAAATAAAATCTGCTGTTGACAGAAACGCTTCCTTTTTCTGCAAACTGCACAAAGAAACATCAGGGAGAATCTAAAATCACGACATCACCTGCAAGTAGAGCGTCCTCTGCTCTACGCTGTATCTTACAGTAAACTGTGCTGAACATCCTGTGCCTGCCGTTTTAATTAACGTGTCAGCACAAGCTGCAAACACGGCAGCACGGCCGCTAATGGTGCCACACCAAGATAATCAAAGTCAACAGCTAAAGCCAGTTTATATTTGAGTTGGGAACGTCGTAATTACCTCGCATGTACTCTGGATGTGTTTCAATAACAACAGAAAACGTCCACTCTGCTCAAGAACAAGGCCGATATGCAGAGAAGGTTCAAACCCTGAGCTGAGCGTGTTCCCGAACATGTCTGCATTTTGTGTTTGGCATAAATTATCTGTCAGTGGGAGTCATACATGAGGCTGATGCATCGATTGTTTGAATGTAATTAGTCAGTTTTAGTTTAACATCGTGGGGACATGATGCCAGTCCCCTCGTATCTCCATTACCTTCCATCTATGTTGCTTCTCTCGTCTCTTCTCCTTCAAAAGCCAAGGTTTGTTTCATGCAGTCTTTTCATTTTCATCCATATATGACGAAACTAAACACACTGTCACTATATCGCACTACCAGCAGTGTACATGTGTTGATTCTTCCATATTCTATTTTATTTATACTGTATTTTTCCTTTTTTTTCTTAATGTATGGCACTGAAACGAAGGTGAGAGCGAGAGGTCTTTTCGGTTCCTCTGTATGTCTTGGATATGAAGAGAAAATGACACTAAAAATCTTCTATTCTTTTCAGTGGTCAATTAATATTTAGATGTAAAAAATCACCAGCCTCCAGCTGGATAGTCTTACAGAGAAAATATAAATTTACACAAACTGATTAGAGGGGAAAAAAAATTGGAGGAATTTACTCAACTGATTCTAATTAGTCGGCGTGACAGAAGGTCATCGTTTCTGTCTGAGGACGACTGAACTGAAGGACAAGCGGTCCACTTAGTAAACTCTCTAGTTGCCCCGCACACACACACAAGTAATGACGACACTAGTCAGATCAGAAAGTGGGTAGCCTTGGCTTTGTACGCTATCTTTACAGCTTTACAACTTTTATTATATACAGCTCATAAAAAACACAGCGGCCTCAATGTCATGGCTGAGCATCGATACAACTTTGCTAAAATTCCTCATTTGCATACCAGTACACCATAAGTCAACATGTGTACACAGGGTGGGGCAGCGACCGGCCACATAGATCAGCTCGATATGATCTAATGTTCTGCTGGGAGACATGTGGCTCCTGATACTCATGTTGGAGGCATACCACACGTAGCACACCTCCGCAGGTCAACGACCTCCTACAGCAGGACAACGAGCCCGACCACAGTCCAAAAACTGCACAGGAGCGGCTCCAGCAACACGACATGAAGCCCGAGGTGTTGAACCTGCCTCCAAACTAACCGGATCCCAATCCAGTTGAGCATCCACATAATTTACCTAACAAGCCTAATCTTCCAAATCCAAACCAAAAACAATGGATCATGAAAATTTGAAACCCATTTTTCAATTGAATCTTATTGATAGTGACAAGTGAACAAACAAAAAGAAAAAATGCAGAGTTGTACAGGCACTGTGAACCCTGGGTCCTCTTCAACCAAGCTGCATGTTCCCTTAAACCTGACGAATGTGCAAAAACAGCCCAACTCCTGAACGTCTTACTGATCTCAGAGGCTGGATGACAACGAACTTTATCAGCGAAATTAATTAAAAGTGCAGCTTTTTATGTGCTGCACCCTCTGTGACAGCTGCAATCCAAACATCGAGGTCTTTTTAATTAAAATATCATTCAATATTAAATCTAATTGACACAATTGTGCTTTTGTGAAAACATCTCAAATAATATCTATCGTGCAAAAATCAAGACTGTAATCCAGGTTTTATTTTCTCTCGTTTAAACTAGTCTTGTTCTCTTTTGTCAGGCCTCAACAATAAAAACAATCAAATCACTCCAATTCTTGAATTTAGGCAAATGTCCCCCTTTGCAATGTATTGAAAGCTATTCCATCATTAGGGCTCTGGTTGTAGCGCTGAACTCCCTGACTGAGGTGCTCAGACTAGCCAACTCTTCTGTCGCCCATCCTGACCCCTGACCTTGCCATGGCGAGGAGGCAAGTTTCTATGGAGATCAACAAAGTCTCTCATTATTCATGATCTGACACACGCTGCCTCAGAATATGTTGAATAATTTATATTTGGGAGCAGATGGAGGTACATTTAATGTCTGGTTGTGGCCAACTTTAAGCAATAAGTTATAGTCTCTGCACACGTCGCACTGAGAGAACATGGCAGACATCATCTAACACCTGACCAGCGCTTAAGGAGCACAGCTGAAGGAAAACAACTAATCAAGCCGGTAACGTGATCCCAAAGTATCTGGTTCACTCGGAGCCGAGGCCTTTGTTGCATGTATGTCACTCCCTCCCACTCTGGTCTCATGTTTCTTGTTTGTCCACGCTGTCACCACCAAATTAAGACTTAAACACCCCCCCTAAAAAAAAGAGAGTAAGCGATAAAGTACATAAAGTTTACCGAGTGCACAAGGAAGCTAATGATGTGATGAAATCCTCAGTGAGGACTGTTTCAGTGTTGTTGCATCAGTCGCAGGCTTCTGTGTTGGGACTTGGTGAAGAAACAGCACAGACAGTCTGCTGACACGAGGCGGCTCGCAGCCTTTCATCACCTGGGCGCATTTTAGGCAGCCGGAGCCGACGGACACATTTCTATGTCCATGTGATCCGGGGATCGCTCTGGTCTGCCACAATCATTGCAATAAGGAAGTGAATGAAAGTGAGACTGGACGGCATTTAATTACATTCTGAAAAGGGTTTGCTGCTGTCCATAAATCACAGTTTAGGTTTTCTAAGACCTTTCAGATGAAATGTTGAGTTCAGTGCTGAGATATGAATGGACTCTGGATGCCTTGGACTCCTGTGATCAACTTTGGAGTTATCTTTGACCAGGATTAACTTACACAGGAAGCAAGTCTGCAAAACGACCTATTTTCACCTGCACTATATTGTCCAAATCCTGTCTCAGAGTGATGCCGAAAAACTAGTCGATGCAATGCTAGCGTGGTTGCCAGAGTCTTCAAAAGTTCAACGGGAAGCAGAGCCTTCAGTTATCAGCTCCTCTGCTGCTGGATCAGCTCCCAGTTTGGGTTCAGGAAGCAGATCCCATCTCAAAACGTCCCTGTTTGATAAATCCAGTAGTTTGTGCTGCTCAGGTGACCTGAACCATCCTTTAGTTATGCTTCGTTATAGCTCCAGACTGCTGGGGGACATCCCATAATGCACTGAGGACCTCCCTTCCTTCTCTCTCCATGTCACTAACTTTATCTCTCTCCTAGAGTTTTTTTGTCCTCTCTCTGTGGCTTCAGAGCTGCACATTTCTGATCTGTGGTTACTCACCAACCTCCCAGGTGTTTACTGTTTTCTTGTCTGTTTCTTTCTCCTTTAGCCAAACCCGACAGGTCGAGGCAGGCGGCTGCCCTCCCTGAGCAGGGTCCTGCCGGAGGTTTCCTCCTGTTAAAAAGTTTTTTTTTTTCCTCCTTTCCAGCTAGTTCCAAAGAAGGATGTTTGGTTTTTCTGCATAACATAATAATTTTCAGCTTACTTTACGAAGTATCATGAGACAACTGGTGTTTTAAATAGTGCTTTACACCAATAAATAAAATAAACTGAATTACATTTTAAAAAATTGAAGGAACTTTGCTTGTCATGCCAGCTCACATTCACATGTTTGAGGTACAAAATTAGTCCTCAGGTCCTGTTTGTTTTTTAGAAAAAGCCTAATAAATAATAAGTACAATAAAACAAGAGCAAAATATAAGTAAAATACAGCAATAGAGTAAAGAATATAACACTAGAGTAGAAAATCCACAATTAGTTGTGTTCAGCACTAAACATTTGTGGAGCAGCGAGGTAGACTGGAATATTACACATACATGGATAAAGTGTTTAATAGTGCAGTTATTAAAAGAAATGCTTCAGTTTAAAAACATGACCTAACTTTAAGTAAAGGTACAGCCAGTCTGCACCTCATTAGACACCTGAAACTAGTGTTTGTCCACCTCATTAATATTAATAAGCTCAATAACAAAACACCTCAGTGCCTCACAGCTGAAACAATTCCTCAGAAACAGAACCTCAGAACCATCATAGAGGCAGGACTCAGTGCTGCACCAGACTGCTGCGTTCATCTCAGGTCAGTTTACCCATAAACATGCAGCTGAGTCCAAAGTAAATGTACTCTGTAGGCAGCAGAGCGGCCAGAGTTTGGTTTGGTATCAGTGGTAATCTTGCAACTTATCTTTAATTTTAACTGCTTTACATCCTGTTGAGTTTATTATAACCTGTCATGAAAAAAAATACAGTAAAATAAATAAGATGCAAGTAACTGAAACATATGTTTCCATACATGTGCTTTAATTCCACTGTTGCTTCCTGACATGACGTGTATGAAAACAAACAAATATAAATTAAATCTATAAATATAAACGCATCCTTACCGGTGTCATCGAAGGCAGGGAAGGAGAACGGATAGTCAGCCAGGGACTTGAGGAGATCAGGAACATCGCTCTTATCTCCGAAAAACACCTGGTTAGCTGTAGACATGATGAAGAGCTTCTGAAACTACCTGCTGTTGTCGAGAAACGCGAGTCTGAGTGCGTGAGCAGCGCTCCACCTGAGCCTGGGACACGGTTTGTGCTGTCAGCTGCTGACTTGAGTCACTTTTCACCAACTTCCAGCATCACGGGGACGTCTGCATGTGTCCAAACAACTTGTATGCTAATGAGCCGCTGGAGCCCCGCCCCCCGCAGCACGGCGACTGGCTGCCGGCCCGTCAATCACGGCGCGGAGCCAATCAGAGAGCGGGGGGCGGGGCTGTGACGCAGCACGATCACAACAACAATGTTCAGACGGACACGGCAGCACGTGCGGCGCACAGGAGGCGGTGCGGCCGAGCGCCAGCCGCCCTCTAGAGGCGGGAACGGGAAGTGCACGGACACCAACAGCAGAGGAGGAGCAGCCACAGATGATCCATGCCAAGGTGAAGTTGTTGATTTATAATGAAAACGCAGCATGTTTGTCTGGTTGGGAATAACATGACGGAGATTCTCCTTCAACCGTTTCTGGATTTGCTCACTAAAAACGCCACGTCCACATCAGACGCTCACATCTCCTGCAATGGTTGCAAAGTTTGATTTAAACAAAATAAAAAGAAGAAGAAAGAAAGAAAATGCAGCTTCTAGCCTAGTGCAGTTTCTAAACACTGCAAACTGAGGACAGCAGTGGTAGGTCATTCGCTTACGGCTCAACTGCAAGTCATGGCTGAAAACAAAGAGCTGAGGGAGGATCTCTGCTCACAAGACACAGAGCGGCTATGCAGACACATCAGCATGTGTTCTACCACCAGTGCAAAGCAAAATTAGAAGGAGTTCAAGTCTGAAGGGCTGGTAGGAAGCTGAACATGACCCAAAATAATCCACCGCTGATGACTCTAAGCTGTTCTGGTAACTTTTCAAGACACACACTGCAGCACATGGTGGTTTGGACGTGGCATTTCTTTGTAAAAATGTTAAGAATAAATGAGATAAAACATGCCTACATAAGAAACAACACAGCAACAGTTCAAATGTATCGTGAACATCTTGTTTATGTCGTTCACAGCCAGATAGAGACACCTGGTCAAATAAAAATGAGCCAGAAATCTACATGTGGCACAGGTTTGGACAAACAGGAACAGAAAGCACACTTCCACATGAATACAACACACAGCAGCTATTATCATACCTGTTACACACCTTCAGTCATTTACTGTAACAATCAAGAAAACAATTCATAGCAAATTAGCCAATTTGGCAACACCCATCTCCATCCATCCATCATCGCTACACCTTAATCCAACATCCTTACACGTAGAGACAGACAACCAAGCACACTCACATTCACACCTACGGACAATTTACAATCACCAATTAACCTCAGCATGTTTGTGGACTGTGGGAGGAAGCCGGAGAACCCGGAGAGAACCCACGCTGCACGGGGAGAACATGGAGACTCCACGCAGAAAGATCCCGGGTGTCCTCACCGGGACGCGAACCGGCGACCTTCTAGCTGTGAGGCGACGTGCTAACCACCGAACCACCTGGCAGCCCACACCCATCTCTGATAAATAAAAAAATAACGTGAACCGGAAACGACAACGATGTGGCCTCGTAGCAGTTTTATTAAGGCGTGCATCTCGGCCAGGTCGTCGGTTCGTCACCTCGCCTGTCTTTGCATGAATTCCAATAATGAAACCTGATCGTGTTGAAACTCTGGGAAATCGTTTATGGGGAGTATTTAATTGCACAATCATAGTTTGAACCTCTCTGTCTGGGAGCTGTAAAATAAAAACATGCTTAATGTTAATCCCTGCTCAAACAAAGGGCAGACAGGCGGGAAAATGAAAAAACAAACCACTAAAAGCTGCACGTTTGGTTAAATATGAACCGACTATGAATCTTCAGTGAGGAAAGTGTGTTTGTGTCTGCAGAGGTTTTTGAGCAGCAGTGTCTGGATCAGGCTAAAGTACTACGTACAGCTCCACACGCTCACAAGAAATTAGACTGTTTTAGTTAAACACTATGTGGCGTTATTTTGGCAAAACAAGTACATGTGCATCAGATTTCAAGTGATCGTTGGACGAGCTGATAACGTCACCCCAAGACGTTGGCGGCTGTAATTTGAAAGTCCTTAATACGCTCAGCTGCTGCTTTGGTAGTTACAAAAATGACACACCGAAAAAATGCATTATTCTCAGTCCTGAAGTAGAAAGTTGTATTTCCCAAAGTCAATCTCATCGGGCATGATGAGCATGTCTTCCCTCGCTTTGGCCAGCTTCTGTCGCAGGAAGCCTCGTCTCTCCGTCCACTCCTGCAGCTCCTCTGGGCTGTGGGCGTAGTCGCAGCTCACGCCATCAGGACAGCCGCCATCCAGCCTGTCAACCATCAACACAGAATGTTTCAGAATAACAAAGTGTTCGC